CATTGTTTGTGTGGAGAGATCTGCAGTGATTCTAATTTTTTTCCCGTTGTAGTATAGCTCCTTCTTCATTTTTGCTGCATGCAGGATTGTTTCCTTATTATTCAGATCCATCATTGTTACTATTATGTGCCTAGAAGTGTTTCTCCTGGGATCTTGCTTGTTGGGTGTTCGATAAGCTTTTGTGATGTAGTTAAGATGGTCGTTTTTGAGGTGGGGAAAATTTTCATTGACTATCTTGTTAAATAGGTGTTGCATTCCCTTGCTCTGGAATTCCTCACCTTCGTCCACTCCGATTATGCGAAGGTTAAATTTTTTAGCATTATCTGCTTGCTCTTGAATTTCCCTTTGGTTTAATTTGAGTGATTTTTCCATATCTGTCACTTTTTGGTCCAGTTGGTGTATTCTGTCTTCTGTATCTGACACTCTACCTTCCATTTCATTCACTCTGTTGACCGTGGCTTCTATTGTGGTTTGCATGATGGAAATGGATCCCTTTATGGATTCAATGTTGGTTCTCAGAGTACTGATCTCACCTCTCAATGAGGTGATATCAGTATGCATTACCTCTAATTTGGCGTTTATCTCACTTCTTACTGAGGTTTGTGCAGCTTCTATTTTTGCATCCAATTTTTGTTTGATATCCTGTATATCTTTTGATAGTTCATCCTTGTGCTCTTTCAATTTCTGATCCATTTCTCGCTTTATTTCTTGAGTCATTGCCTCCAGCAACCCTTGGATGTAGTTTTTGTCTTCCATTCCTGCTTTGCTCCCACTGGAGCTCTCCCCTGCGTGGCTGCTGGCTTTTGAGGTGAGCTTGCTGTCCTGGGTAGTGGTAAACCTTGTGATTTTTCTCTGTGATTTTCGCATGGGGGTTCAGGAGACTGCTCTTCAATCTTGTTTTGGTGTGTCTGTCTTTGCTTGGTTGCTGATTCTCTATTGGTAGAGAGAGTCTGTGTCTGATCTGGATTCTGTTGGGAGCCTATTTCCAGCTGCTATTCACTTAGGATTCTCAGCTCTCTGCTGTAGCAATTCCCGCCTTTGGAAGGGTTGAGCAGCCTAGACTGCTTGTGTTTGCTCCTGCGGGTGCTCTTGGGAAGATCAGATGCTCTGGATGCACTCTCCCAAATACTGGAGTCTGCTATGGGCTCCTGATGTGTTTTTGTTTGTTTTGGGCTGGTTGTGGGCTTGAACTCTAGGTTTGGGTGCTGTCCCTCAGCTCTTCAGCTCAGGGCTGGCACCCTACCATTTGAGCCACAGCCCCACTTCTGACCCTTTTTGCTTTGTTCAGGCGCCGGTCCCCTGGCCAGGTTCCGGCCCCAGCCTGGAGCGCGCTCGTTAGGCCTGTGCTAATGTGTATACCACCTTGGTTATGCAGCCTGGAGGACACAGTTCAAATTTCTTCTACTGTTGGTAGTCTTGACCCAGGGGCACTGTTCCTGGCTTGAGCATTTAAGCTCCCTTCCCGGGGCGCTCTTGCTCTGGCCTGGCCAGCAGAGTGTGCTCCACCGGCTGGTGGGGCTCTCGAACAGTTCCCAGTTTTAGTGGGTCCTGTGGTCCGGGTGTTGGGGTAGGGAGTCTAGGTCAGGGTCTGGGGATTCCCTCCAGCTCTGGTCTCCCTTGATGGATTCCCTGTCCCCTGATGGGTACTCACCCTGTAGGTCGTCAGTTGTTGTTGCAGTCCGTCAGTTGTTGTTGCAGTCCGAGTTCAGTTGGGGTGGTTGCGGGCTGGGTTGGGCGGCCCCCCGCCGGGTCGTTGCGATCGCGACAGGTCCCTTTGTGGCGCTGCTGGTGGCGGCTTTGGCGGGATGGAGCCTCTCCGCTCCGGTGGAGAGTGATGGGTGGGGTGGGATCCTCCTGGAGACTCCCGGCTGGTAGGTTTCTCTGTTCCTGGCGATCCGCTGTTCTGCAATCCGGTACCTGGTGATCTGCAAGCAGCCCCCTGTGTCTCTGTGGCTCCGGCAGCCCCTGCCGGGCCGGCTGGCCGGCGGCTTGGCGCACTGCCGCGCGGCCAGTAAAGGTTGGGGGAGGGGTCTTCGCTCTTCTCTGTTCTGAAATTCTTCTTTTCCTCTCTTTCTTTTTTTGTTATTTTCCACCTCTGGTTTTTCTCTGAGTGTTCGTCTTTTTGTTGTTGTCGGTCTCTTGGGGAGATTAAAGGTTGGAACTCGAACTCTCTTTTTGGTTGGAGAGAGCTGTGGCGTTTCCCTACTGCCCCGTCGCCATCTTGAGAACTCGAACAACGATGTATTTCTAAGCATAGAATTTTTTCAGACACGAAGATGAATGACAAGGACAAGAAATTGAAGACAGTGGTATGGGTTTGGGAGGCTCGTTATATCTACTTTGTCATTCTTAGTTCTATTCCTTTTCTAAGATGAGAAAGACCTAAATGAGTTTAGTGGTGGGGTCATTTTTTTGGCAAGAGAGGCAATGTAAAACACATTTTGAAAGAGCAATAGCAAAGCCTGGTGAAAATAACACCAAAGGCAAGGAAATGATAGCTAAAGTCCAGCATTAGTTACAGTTTCCCGTGTGAATACAACTATTGAGCCTGGCTCACATTAATAAGAACTGGGAAAGCTAGTAATGGGGAAGAAAATGGTGAATTTAGGGCTGGGAAGATGGCTCAGTGGTAGAGCGCTTGCCTTGCCTGCCTGAGACCCTGGGTTCAATTCCTCAGCACCACATAAGCAAAAAGAAAAAAGCCAGAAGTGGCGCTGTGGCTCAAGTGGTAGAGCGCTAGCCTTGAGCTGAAGAGCTGAGGGACAGCACCCAGGCCCAGAGTTCAGGCCCTACGACCAGGCCCAAAAACAAAACAAAAACCGAAAATGGTGAATTTAGTAATGCACAATTTGGGCCTCACGTGACATTTGATATATGAACTTCTGACCACATTATTGTCTAATAGTAATTATTAGTTGTTTTTACTTTATTTTTGTGCCAGTATTGGGGATTGACTTCAGGGCCAGGGTACTTTTCCTTAGCTTTTTTGCTTAAGGCTGGTTCTCTACCACTTGAACCACAGCTCCACTTCGTTTTTTGGTGATGAGTCTCACAGACTTTACTGCCCAGGCTGGCTTCAAAACACAGTCCTCAGATCTCAGTCTCCTGAGTAACTAGGATTATAGGTGTGAGCTATCAACCTCCAACTTAGTTGTTTATATTTTATGAATTATTACTGTTGATTCAAATCCGTCACCTTGCATTATACCATTGTGTTGTGTAAGCGTTGTAAAGGCTGATGTAATTTTTTAAATATATTTTATGTTCTAGTAGGCAGATTATAATTGTTGCATGGTGTGTGTCATGTTTTGTTTTGGTTTGCTCTAAATTTGGGATCATAATATGCTTGTTAATAAAGGACAAGCTCTCACTTTAGCATTTGACTTGGTGTAACAGAAATAGGAAGGGAAGTAGTGCCCAGAAATGTTGTACTTGGACTAGAAAAGGTGCTTCAAATAATAGCCATTTATCTGGGCATTTTCAAACCTTGCTTATTGTCATTTTTTCCCCCTGCACTGCATAGATCATGATATTAAGTGTTTATAACCTATTATGTATTAGTAAATACTATCTTAAAAGTTGCTATTTTTGTTTGTTAAAATCATACTAAGAATAAAAGCTCATTGTAATAATTTAAAGGCATTGGAAGGTTAAAAGGAAATTATCACGTGGATTTTTTTTTTATCATCATCTTATATCTTATGATCCAAAATGGCCATTGTTAAAAGGGGAGTAATCCTACCTTTATGGCTGACTAAATAAGTTCTATTGGAATATCTTAATAAAATTTATCAAGATATATTTAATAAGTAATGTTTAACAAAATTTATTACACTACATTTAAGAGATTGCAATAAAATTTATTATGATATGTTTCAGATATCTTAAAATCTTAAGCTTACATGCATGCACATAGTATTTTACATATATGAAGTCAGAACTTGGCTTTATTATTGATTATTATTATTGATGTTGTTTATTTGGCTTATAAATGACCTAGGGCTTTTTAGTTCTCACTTAACTCCTCCATTTTTCTGTTGAAAATCCTACTATCAAACAATTTGCAGGAAACAAAAAAGAGAGGAACATAATGAGGGAAAAGGAAACAGGACAAGCACTCACCTTACTAATAATCAAGAATTTTAGGCTAGGTTTTAGTAGCTCACGCCTGTAAACCTAGTTTCTCAGGAGGCTGAGATCTGAGGATCAGGATTCAAAGCCATTCCGGCAGACAATTTGAGACTCTTACCTCCACTTAACCAATAAAATGTCAGAAGTGTATATATACCACATTTTGATCTGTTTATTCTACTGAGGGACATCTGGGTTGTTTCAATATCTTAGTTATGGTAAACAATACTGCAATGAACATGGTTGTGCTGGTAGCTTTAGTGTGGCCTTGTTTGTGATCATTTGGGTAAATGTTAGGAGTGGGATTGCTGGATCATAGGGGAGCTTTATGTGTAGTCTTTTGAGGAACCTCCATACTGCTTTCCAGAGTGGTACATATACAGAGTGGAATTATATGCTTCCATCAGAAAGAATGACATTGCCTCTTTTGTAAGGAAATGGAAAGACTTGGAAATAAATAATAAGTGAAGTAAGCTAGATCCAAAGAAACATAGGCTCCATGGTTTCCCTCATTTGTAATAATTAGTATATGTCTAGGATAGTCCTAACAGAGGATCACAGTAGCTCAATAGCCATGTACATATGACCAAATAAAATGATTATAATTGAAATGAGCTCCAAGATATGGAAACAAAAAAAGAGACTCAGATATAGTCTTGTTAATCCAGACTATGAAGATGGGAGCATTTTATAAATTTTTAATTACTATGATTAGTGATACTTATAAAAATGCTATACAATACTATTTTGAATAGTAATTTGTCCTTTTATTGTTTCATATTGAAAGCAGATGGGGAAGTAATCAATTTTTTGGCTTTCTTTTGGTCAAATCTAATTTAGACTCTTTCTTTATTCTTTTATTCTCCCAGATTATCCAATAAAGAACATCACTTTACCCTTTCATAATCACAGCTATGTGAGTGAAGATCTTAGCCAAATGAAAGAAAGGGTTTTTAGGATCTCTTCAGAGAACGTATCCTTGGAAGTGGAAGGAAAACAGTCACATTCCAGGAACAAACGTTTTTTATCATACCCAAGATACGTAGAAGTCATGGTGACAGCTGATGCCAAAATGGCCCATTTCCACGGGCAGAACTTACAGCATTATGTGCTGACCCTGATGTCCATTGTAAGTACACTTATTTGGACTCTAATATTACCTGGAGGCTTCACCTTTTCTTTGCAGGTTCCAGGATTTGAACTCAGGACCTTTTCTGCCTTGAACTTGCTCAGCTTGCTAGCTTGGCTGGCACTCTACCACTTTAGCCATGCCTCCAGCCCAGCTTTGTACTGGTGATTTGGAAATGGAGTCAGTTCAACTTTTCTGCCTTGGCTGGCTTCTGTCTGCAATCCTCCAGATCTCAGCTTCCTAGACATCTAGGATTATAGTCCATGAGCTATCTTTATTTACATATAACTTGTGTGTGTGTTGTGTGTGTGTGCGTGCGCGTGTGCACACGTGCATGTGTACACTGGACTTGGGGCTTGAACTCAGGGCCTGGATATTGTCCCTGAGCCTTCTTGCTCAAAGCTAGTGCTCTATTACTTGAACCACAGCTCCACCTTCAGCTTTTTTAGTGGTTAATTGGAGATTAGAGTCTCATCAACTTTCTTGTCTGGGCTGGCTTTGAGCCTCATTCCTCAGATTTCAGTATCCTGAGTAGTAGAATTACAGGCAGGAGTCATCAGCACCCAACTTCTATAGTCTTTTAAAAATACAATCCTAGATGAACCTATTTCTATGGATCCTAGTAGTATTATATGTTAAAAATAATAATCACATTCAAAATGGGAAATATGCAACACTATGTGAGAGAATATGAAGTAAAGCTACCAGAATAGGAAATACTTGTGAGTTTTGTGAAATTTTATGGTGAGCTAAGTCATGGATAATGATCCAGAGTGAAGTGACTGTTTTGACGAATTATGTCTAATAGTTGTTTTAATGCAGATTCTACTAATATTAGGTAAATATAGATGTAACTGATTCCTGGGCAGATCTTAGTAGCTAGGGTTAGGAGAATGGTTTCTAAGCTTTCCTTCATACATATACACATATGTACATACACATACACACATATATGTAGGGATATACAATAATATGTATGCATATGTATATATATATAATCTTATGTTCTTTTATCTACAGGTGGCAGCAATCTACAAGGACTCAACTATTGGAAATCTTATAGAAATAGTAATTGTAAAATTAGTTGTCATTCACAAGGAACAGGTAAGAAGCAGGTCTAAAATTAGGAATTTTTTTTTGTCGTAGCATTTTAGATCACCAAAGTCTTATTCAAAATGAGATTGTGTGTGTGTGTGTGTGTGTGTGTGTATGTGTGTGTGTGTGTATGTGTGTATGTGTGTGTGTGTATGTGTGTGTGTGTGTGTATGTGTGTATGTGTGTATGTGTGTGTGTGTATGTGTGTGTGTGTGTATGTGTGTATGTGTGTGTGTATGTGTGTATGTGTGTGTGTATGTGTGTGTGTATGTGTGTGTGTGTATGTGTGTGTGTGTGTGTATGTGTGTGTGTGTATGTGTGTGTGTTTGTGTGTGTGTGTATGTGTGTGTGTGTGTGTGTGTGTGTGTGTGTGTGTGTGTGTGTGTGTGTGTGTGCCTGCCCCATTACTGGCGTCTGAACTCAGGGCTTAGGCATTGTCCCTTAACTTTTTCACTTAAGGTTGGTGCCACCACTTCTGGCATTTTGCTGGTTAATAGAAAATAGGAGTCAGACTTTTCTGTATGAATTGGCTTTAAACTGTGATCTCAGATCTCATCCTCCTGAGTAGCTAGGGTTGCAAGTGAGAACCATTCTTGGTCCTGCAAAGTTAATTCTTTTTGATCTTCCATATTTGATAGTTCCATTGGAATCTGATTAGGTTCAGTTTCAATCAACTCAACTGTTTGATGCAGTCTAAGAAGGCAAGGCAGTGCTATTCCCCCATCAGCCTGTGAGGTCACTGTTGAGTGGATTGCATGGATGCAGGAGGAAGGACCGCAGGGCTGGTGTTATTTTGAATTGCTCCTTGTCTTGTGCAGGAAGGACCAGTCATCAATTCCAATGCGGCTGCCACTTTACGCAACTTTTGTTTATGGCAGCAAACCCAGAATGTTCCTGAGGATTCCCACCCTTCTCACCATGACACGGCTGTTCTCATTACTCGGTACGTCTTTGAAAGAAGACTAGTGTTCTTTCTTCCTGCTTGTTCCTGTGGCCTTCACTCCTCACCCATTGGTTGCGCGTGGGCCTTGACCGGGCAGAGGCATGGGTCCCTTCCTTCACACTCAATTCTACTCAGTTAGCTCCTTAGGAAATCTGCAAAGTCAGTTTGCTGAGTGATGGTTTAAGCTGGACAAAATAATTAGTACTAGGATAGATAATTAGGAATGATATCTAGAAATTAATGACATGAGCACATTTCAGAGTAGATAGGACAAAAAGTGGCTGCATTTATTTGATTATCCTCTTTTGGGGCCTCCTGGACTACTTACTCTTTCTTCCCTCCCCCCCTCTTTTCTTTCCTCCCTCTTTCCTTCTCCCCTCCTTCCTCCTTTCTTTCTTCCTTTCATTATCTAATGGTGTATCTATGTATTTATATATCTTCTATTATGTACCTATCATCTATCATCTATTGGTCATCTCTGTCTGTCTGTCTGTCTTCCTATCTGACTAATTCTGTTTCTGTCTATCTATCTATCTGTCTGTCTGTCTTCTGTCTGTCTGTCTGTCTTTCTGTCTGTCTATCCCTGTCCATCCATTTATCGATCTCTGTCCATCCATCCATCCATTCATCCATCTTCCATCCACAATTCATCTATCTGTCTATCTATCTATCTATCTACCTACCTACCTATCTATTGATCGATTGGTCAATGGATCTATCTACCTACCTATCTACCTTCTTACCTACCTACCTACCTGTATATCTATGACTTGCTTTGATGTGCAATGCGTGTCATAATTCCCAGGCTGCTTTTTTAGGCTTCTTCTCACTGCTATTCCTGTGAAAAAAGATTTCTAGTTATGCTGATGTTATTTCCAGTTTACAAGCACTGTTGTTCAGTGCCAACCCATGACTTGTTTCAGCAACATGATGGTATAGAGTTCCTAGGTTTGTTATGTGGCTGTTTGGTTTGTTAATGAAGGAATGTCTTGGGTGTTGGCCTCAATGGAATGTCAGCATTAGTACCATATACTGAAAACCTTGTGTCCCTGGTGGCACAGGTGACAGGCATTATATCTACTTTATCTCTTTATAACACGAGAGCAGCATTAATTTATGCACCTCTATCAGTGTCCATAGTCTTGCCCTGGATTGATGATAGAGATCATGTGGCAAAAGATGACAGTAGTCAATTTAAGAGAAGAGGAAAGGGATATGAGAAGAGGACATGATTGGTGGGCAAGAAAACTGTCAAAATTGAATTGTCTGTGACTAAGTAATGCAGGAGGGAAAAAAGTTAAATAACTTCATAAAGTCTGAGAGCATTGATATTTTGCTTGTTAACTGAGTTCATAATGATCTTGCAGGATTGTCTGATAATATTATAAAGGCAGTGTTAAGACAAAGAGATAAAAATATAGTGAGGACATTTTTGTGATGAACTTGCTTAAAGCTTCATCTATTTTACACCATGAGCTTCTAAGCTTATTCATATGCACAGATGGGGCATTGCACAATGCTACAGTATTTTTGTATAAAATTCTAATGTTATTATTAAGGTGTCTTCGTTGAAATTTTTTTTATTTAGAATTTTTTTGATTTTTTTTAAATAACTTTTTTATTGTGAAAATACTGTACAGAGGGGTTACAATTACATGAGCAAGGTAATGAGTACATTTCTTATCAAGCATTGTTGCCTCCTCCTTTGTTTTTCCCCTACCATCCCTTCCCTCCCACCTCCACAACTACTCCCCATCCTCCACTCCCCGCCTAAATTGTAAAGTTCATTTTTAGACTTAGCGTCTTGTACATCTCATTGTTGCAATAGGTCCGCCTGTATCCCTGTTTAAACAATTTGTTTTTTCCTTTCCACTCCCCAGATTATACCACCATCAAATACAGTGAAAACAGGGGTTATACTGTGGGGGAGGGGGCATACATTTGTTGAAGTTTTTTGAGAGCTTAATAAGAACCAGTTTGAGTTTGGCAAAAACAGCAATAGCCATGCTATATTAAAATCTTTTTTATTTGTGCTCATTGCCAACATAGTTTCTGAAAATGTTTCAAAATAAATCTTTTTCTTTAAGGCAAGACATTTGTGGAGCGAAAGAGAAATGTGACACATTAGGTAAGTTACTTTGTTCACTAACTTTAGCTAATATTGAATTCAGTAATTGAATTAGCATATTGAATTCAGTAATTTAATCATTCTATAATTAAGTTTAAAAAATTGACCTGTTAATAATTTTCATTAGTTGTTTTGATAAATTATTATAGTTATTACTGTTTTTCTTGGTTTTGTGCTGGGGCTTAAACCCAGGGTCTGGGTGCTATCCCTTAGCTTTTTCACTGGAGGTTTACCGTTTGAGTCACAGCTCCACTTCTGGCTTTTTATCTGGGAGATAAGAGTCTCACTGACTTTCCTCGCCAGGCTGGCTTTGAACCATGATCCTCAGATCTCAGCCTCTTGAGTAGCTAGGATTATAAGTGTGAGGCACTGGTGCCGGGCAATCACTGTTACTTGATTCTGCCTTTGTAAATTTTACAAAATAACAACAACTAGTATGTTGTAGGTCTCAATAATCCGATATTGAGTGGGGTGTAAAGCTTTGACTGATTTAATTTGCGTTTCGTAGAATATAAAATAAATAGCCATGAGCCCACAGTGAAGCATCAGAACTCGGACACAACTATTGCTCGGCCTGTGTTCGCTCCACACTCTGGCAAGATCTTTGCTTTCCCAAATAGTGGCCACCACCGTGAATTCCATCCTTGCCAATTCCTCCCATCTTTGGAAAATTAGAAGTAGTTCTAAATAAGAAATTACTGTATTTTTCTTCGTTTTGAATCTTGTGGTGGTGGTTTATGCATTTTTGCTTCTATGTTACGTGCCATTCATTATTCTCTATCTGTTCCCTCTCAGTAGAGTTGAGCTATTTCCAGCATTTTTCTGTTACGAATCTTGCTGTAAGATTGAGGGTGTATTCCTAAGATTCAAATTACTGTCACTAGCCAGGTGCCAATGTTCATGCTTGTAATCCTAGCTACTCAGAGGGGATGAGATCTGGGAATCATGGCTTGAGGTCAGCCCAGGCTAAAAATTAGTGAGGCTTTTATCCTCCATTAACCATCCAAAAGCCAGAAGTGGCCCTGTGGTTCAAGTGGTAGAACACTAGCCTTGAACAAAAAAGCCAAGGGACAGCACCCAGGCTGTGAGTTCAAGCCCTAGGACTGATACCAAAGTAAAAATAACCACAATAACAATAGTAATTGCTGTTATTAAGAATGATAATGTAGGTTGAATATCTCTAATGGGAAATGCTCCAAAATCTGAAACTTTGAGTACCCACATGGCATTCAAAAAGTTTCAGATTTTGAAGCATTTTAGAATTGTATTTATATACTATATATATATATATATATATATATATATATATATATAGTATATAAATACAATATATATATATAAATACAAGTGTATATATATAAATACAAATATATATATATACATATATAAATACAAATATGTGTGTGTGTGTGTGTGTGTGTGTGTGTGTGTGTTCCCAAATCTGAAAAACTCTGAAATCTGAAACACATGGTTTCCTAGCATTTTGGATAAGAGATGATCATATTAAACTTTATAATTTATGCCAAATTATCTTCTAAAGTGCTCACACCAATTTACAGTCCATACTCTTTATCAATTGTGTATAGGCATTGAACTCAGGGCCTATGCTCTTGATTGGCTTGTTTCTGGTTGGTGCTCTACTGCTCAAGCATGCCTCCAGTTGCAGCATTTTGGTTGGTTAATTGCACATAAGACTCTCTGAGATTTATCTTCCTGTGTTAGATTCAAATCATGATCCTCAGATTCTTAACCTCCTAAGTAGGGTTACCTGTGTGAACCACCAGCATTTGACTAGGTATTTATTTTTTATAGTATCCTTGTTGACCCTAAATGTCTGAAGACATTCAGACATTTCTTATTTGCCAGTCTAAAAGTAACATATTTCAGAAATCATAATTTTCATTTTTCTGAATGCTAGCAAGTTTGAATAGAATTTCAGTTACTTGTTGTCATTCATATTTCCTTTTCTGAAACAAATGAAAAATGCACATATTTTCTGCCTTACTGTTTGTTAATCCTTTCTGCTTTTCTAATTTTTAAATGTCTTTTTGATACCAAAACCTTTGTTGATATATATGTATATATATATATATATAATATAGTAAATATCTTTTAACAATTTATTGCTAGGGTTTTATTCATTTTTGTGGGAAAATATACAATGTAACTGGATATATAAACTTCTTATTGTGTGGTTAGCATTTATGTGTCTTATTTTAAGAAACTCTTCTAAAACTCAGGGTCTGAACATATCTTCTGTTTTCTAGTAGGTATTATAAAAGTTGTTCCTTCACATTTAGATCTTTAAACCATTGGGATATATTTTTTATATGTTATTAAGAATATTGTTTTGTTAGATTTTTATTTTTATTTTTGTACCTACCCTTGAACTCAGGGCCTGGGCACTGTCCCAGAGCTTTTGTGCTCAAAGCTAGCACTCTACCACTTAAGCCACAACTCCACTTTGGTTTTATGGTGGTTAATTGGAGATAAGTGTCTCGTGGATTTTCCTGCCTGGCTGGCTTCTACTGTAACCCTTAGTTCTCAACCTTTTGAGTACCTAAAATTACAGGCATGAGCCACCAGTGTTTGGCCTGTTAAATTCTTTCCTATTCTCATGTGATAGACTGAATGAGTCTTCTTTCCTTAGAATCTACAATTCAAATTCCTAATTCAAATTTTGTATGTACTTTAGTCTATTTCTCTTTTCATTCCATAGATGTCTTTTTATCTACTTCATACATCGATTCCTCACTATTTTCAGTTTTATTATTTTTATAGTATATTTCCACATTATTTTATCTCTTTTTCTTTCTTGTTTATTTTCTTCAAGATACACTGTAGCTCTTTCAGAAGTAATGGGGTTTAAATTCCGGGCCTTGTGCTTGCTAGGCAGGTGCTCTACCACTTATGGTTGGATCCCAACCAATTTTACTCTTGCTCTTTTTCAAGCAGGGTCTCACTTTTTGCTGAGGAGGTTTTAGATCATGACCTTACGGACACTTTTGGAATATTTAGGATAATTTAAGGCTTTCAATGTAAAGTTTGAGCAGTAATGGAATAAATACTGTATTCCAAATATCTACACAGCTCTAAAATGCATAGATTGGAATTAAGCCATTCAGCAGGTGGAAAGAATAGAGGCATAACAATATCTATGTAAAAAGCTGGATGTGAATGGCTCATACCTATAATCATAACGACTTACAAGGCTGAGATCTGAGGGTTGAAGTTGAAGCTAGCTTGAGCAGGAAAGCCCATGAGACTTTTATGTCTAATTAACCCCCAAATGCCAGAAGAGGAGCTGTGGCTCATGTAGTAGAGCACCAGCCTTGAATGAAAAAGCTCAGGGACAGTGCCCAGGTGGTGATTCATCTTACACACCCCCCCCCCCCACACACACACAGTTAATTTACTATTATCAGCCAATTTTATATTCATTTCCAAATAATAATGTTATTGTTTAAATGCTTTAAAATTTAGTGATTTGGGTGACACTTCCCATTTTGATGGCATGTCAATACGACATTTTCCAGGCTTAGCAGAACTGGGAACCCTGTGTGACCCTACGAGGAGCTGCTCTATTAGTGAAGAGAATGGGTTGAGTGCTGCCTTTACCATAGCTCATGAGATTGGCCACGTGTAAGTACCTTTGGCTGCAACGATGTGTTCTTTCATGGTCTAAAGTTCTATCTTCAGTCGAGTCGCTGGTGCCTTCATTTCTTCATAGAATATCACAAATGTGATTTTCCTGCCTGAAACGCTAACTCTGACTGTTTTGTGATGGATCTGTGTTAGGTCAGGCAGGCTGCGCAGATGAACAGGATAAGCAAAGGATCAGAATTCGAATTTTCTTTTCATTTTCATTTATAGTATTGAATTACAGGACAAACACTTCTGGCTTCTATCTCTTGTTCCTGACCGGGTACTTTTCTCAACTAGTTTTTGCGATGACCTACAGGGGTACTTGGCTCTTGTGAGATTCCCAAAATATCTATAATACCAATGCATTTATTACTGTTAGAGCTCAGAGCCAAAGGAGGATATATGGAACATGAGAATTTTTTGTTCATACACACACATACACACATTTAAATTGCTTTCCTAAGCCAGGCTCCTAGCTACTCAAGTGGCTGAAATGTGAAAACCACAGATCAAAGCCTGTCAAAGCAGAAATGTTTCTAAGATTCTTTCTGCAAGTTAACCACCAAAAAGCCAAAACGGGGGGCTGTGGCTTAAATGGTGGAGTGACAGGCTTGGGTAGAAAACTCTCAGCAAAATCAAGAGTTCTTGAGTTCAGGCCAAGGCAGAAAAGGCTCTGTGGGGGCTGGGAAGGTGGCTCAGTGGTAGAGCGCTTGCCTTGCATGCCTGAGGCCCTGGGTTCGATTCCTCAGCACCACATAAGCAAAAAGAAAAAAGCCGGAAGTGGCACTGTGGCTCAAGTGGTAGAGTGCTAGCCTTGAGCTGAAGAGCTAAGGGACAGCGCCGAGGCCCAGAGTTCAGGCCCTATGACTGGACCCAAAAAAGAAAAGAAAAGAAAAGAAAAGGCTCTGTGACTCTTATTTCCAGTTAATCAACAAAAATCTACAAGTGGAGCTGTGGCTCAAATGGTAGAGTGCCAGGCTTGAGTGGAATAATCTCAGCAAGAGTGAATTTCTGAGTATAGACCCTAGGACAAGCGTGCATGCGTGTGCACGTGTGCACACATACACACACACACACTCCTTATTTAAAGTTTGTCATAAAATTTCCAGGTTTTCTTATCTATTTCTGTCTTCCTCAAATTCTACTGGGGCTTGTGCTGTAAGAACGGAGGCCATCATTTCCCACGATGTTCAAGGAAAGTCAGAAGGTTCTACAAACTCATCTTCTGAAAATTGCTCCCAAATTTAGCCCTGGAGTACACCGTTAAGGAATTGTAGTTGGACCACATTTCGTTTCCTACTCATGCTTTGAGATGTCACCGGAGCATGTGTGCTGAATTATTTCAAGGAGACATAATCTTTTCATTCACTAGCACCTCTAGGGTTCCTGTGTGGCATAGTTCTATCTCATGGTCAGCAGTAGGTTGCATGCTCAGTTCTGTAAGCTGTTCGGGAAATGGAAGGAGGGGAGATACGTTGGAATGAAGAGAGGACCTGCAGATCATTGAAATATGACAGCAAACTGCCAACTTGTAGAAGGCCTTTCTTGCAGAGAAGCTTAGCTAAGCATTTATTTTCTACCTGAGAAACTCCAAACTTCTCTTGAAAGAGATAAGTAAATTGAAAGAGCAATTTAAATGCAAATTTCAGCAGACAAAACAAACCCTGATCTTTGTGTTTTCAGAATTCCATTTGAACTCAATTTCATACCTGACTCTGCATGGATTTGTTGCTGCCTTGTTGATTATTGAATATCTTTGATCTCATGATTGCTTTCTGGGAATTTAAAAAATTAGCCCATGTATTTATTTGTTTACATATGAATTTATTTATTTGTTACTACTGGGGCTTGAATTCAGGGCCTCATACCCTCAATTGGCATTTTCACTCAAAACTGGCAGTCTACCACCGAGCCATTCCTCCACTTCTGGCTTTATGCTGCTTAATTGTAGAACAAGAGTCTCGTGGATTTGTCTGCCCAGGCTAGCTTTGAGCCATAGTCCTTAGATCTCAGCCTCTTGAGTCATTGGAGCCCAGTTATTATCCCAGTTTTCTTGATCGTCATGTATCAGTTATAGACCAGAAGTAGAACTGAAGTTATTTATATGAATAAGAGGATATTAGAGAATATGTGCAGGTAGGGACTAAAGTATTTTTGGATGCTGTACAGTAGTCAATGGAATAATATGCTCACACACCTTGTGAGGTATCCGTGATGAAGCCTGGAGATGATTCTATGTGTTTTTCTCCCCAATCATTTGATTATTTAAAGTTAAGATGCCAACCCAGAAGACTATACAGCTGATCAGAGATATTAGTCTAGTGTTTCTCAGCAATCATGTGCTTCTAAACATGAAATTGTGGAGAGACCAAGAGTACAAAATCGAATGTTACCAGAGTTAGTCATATACGATAGTTGAAATAGAAAAGACCTGCTAACTAATGTACACCTTTTTGATGGTCTTTTAAAAATGTGTTTTTTCTTTTTTCACTTTTAGATTTAATGTGCCCCATGACGATAGTTTTAAATGCAAAGAGTATGGAGTTAAGCATCAGTACCATGTAATGGCACCAACTTTAAATTATCATACGAGTCCTTGGACCTGGTCTACCTGTAGTCAGAAGTATATCACGGAGTTCCTTGAGTAAGTCTGAGTTTCTGTGACTTTTCTTGATAATTGAACGTTCATTAGAGTATAAAATTTGGAAATTTTTGAAGTGTTTCAATGTCTGTTTAGCTTTTTAAATGCATACCTATTGTCACTGTACAACTAGATTATACAAAGAAAGAGTTGTATATGTATATTATTTCATTCCTTTGAAAGAAAAAATTTTCTTTTTTTGTGTCAGTCCTGGGGCTTGAACTTAAGGCCTAGGCACTGTCTCTCATCTTTTTTGCTCAGGGCTAGTGCTCTACCACTTGAGCCACAGGTGTACTTCCAGCTTTTTGGTGGTGATGAGTTTTCACACTTCTTCCTGGGAAGTCTTCAAAACATGATCCTCAGATCTCAGCCTCTTGAGTAGCTAGGATTGCAGGTGTGAGCCACCAGTGCCCGGTAGAAATTTTTATTGCGGTTCAGACCTATATATGTTTTTAAATCTATACTTGTGATGAAAATTCTTTATTTGGGGATAATTAATGGTAAAAATTGGTACTTTATGTGCTTTTTAATCTTATAGAAGTTAGTAATATTTTGGGAGGAGTTTGAATGGCTCAAGTATGAGTCTTGGGGCTTGAACTCAAGGCCTTGAAACTCTGAGTTTTTGCTCAAGGCTACCACTTGAGCCACAGTTCCACTTCCAGTTTTTTCTGAGTGGTTTATTAGAGATAAGAGTCTAAGGATTTTCCTGTTTGAGCTGGCTTTGAGCAGTGATCCTCAGATCTCAGACTTCTGAGTAGCTTGGTCCCTGGCTAAGTCGCTCTCTAAAGCTGAGATATGGAGAATTTCCAACTTCATGACTTCTTGGAGATTCTTCTTAGCTCTGAAGACACGAGATCCAGATTTATATTCCCTCTCCTTCTCTTCTCAGTTTCTTTTTTTCCCCATATAGTATTTTGATCATAATCATACTCATCTAACTGGCAACCTCAAATGCTAGAAAATTTGTTTGTATAAGCACAACCTAACATTATTCTTCTTTATATTCTAATCACATATATAATTGTTTCTTAAGTATTTTCTAGTTACTTCTTTCTTGGTCAAAACCACAGGAATAAATAAAGCCAGGCTCATGAACATGACTTGAAATTGCTCACTAGCTGAGATAATTGGTTTTGGATGGGAATTTGATTTCAAAGCACAGCATACAATTGCTGATCTGATGTAAAACTTGGGCTTTAATTTTACAATATTTGGGCAGTTTGGATGATATACTTGTGACATCATTACTGGATAATAATAGACTAATGGTGTGATTATAAATTATATTTTGAGGAATTTATGATTTGTCACTTAAAAATAATTGACAGTATTGAGGATTGAACTTAAGGTCTTGTTCATTGTAGGCAAGTCTAAGCTAGCTACATCACTGAGCTATAGTGCATCTCCGGTTCATTCTTTTCAATTTCTTCTTTCAGGCAGTGGGAATTAAGTTCAAATGAGCACATTAAAAATCCTTTGTAGCCAGGTGCTGGTGGCTCATGCCTTTAATCTTGGCTAGGAGGCTGAGATCTGAGAATCATGGCTCAAAACCAGACGGGGCTGGAAAGTCCATGAGACTCATCTCTATTAAAGCACCAAAAAGCCAGAAGTGATGCTGTGTCTCAAGTGAAAGAGTTCTATCCTTGAGCAAAATGAACTCTCGTCCAGGGTCCAGGACCTAAGTTCAAGCTCCATGAATAACAACAACAAAAAAAAGTTCTTTGTAAACTCTGAGGTTATGTAACTCTGATGTGATATGAGTTGTTTTTTAAAAGTTATGGAATAATAGATATACACTTGTTGAAAATGTGATGAGGACTGTTATACTGACTCAAGAGGCTGAGATGTGAGGATCATGGTTCAAAGCCAGTCCCAGCAGGAAAGTTCATAGACTCATCCTCAGTTAGCCTTCAAAAATCCATAAGTGGAGCTGTGGCTCAAGTAAGTGGTAGAGTGCCATCCTTGGGCAAAAAAAAGCTCAGGGACAGCACCCAGATCCTGAGTTCTAGCTCTATAATGTCACCCCGCCCCCCACCCACAAATGTTACATTGAAGCTATCTCTGTGTATTCTCAATGATGTATTTTCTGTCGTTGACATAGCACTGGTCAAGGGGAATGTCTCCTTGACAAACCGAATGAAAGTGTATATACTTTGTCTTCACAATTACCCGGCTTATTGTATGATGTTAACAAGCAATGTGAGCTCATGTATGGTCCTGGATCTCAAGTGTGCCCCTATTTGGTAAGAAAAATTCTTTCCTTTTGTATAACTAGTAACCTGAGGTGGTAGTTAAAATAGATTTCAGAATGCACATATAATCTCTGTCTCTCTCTCTCTCACTTTCTTGAAGTTGAATATGTTCTTTTATTCAATTTGTGTTATGTTAGTAGAGGACAATCCTAACAGTATTACATTGGATAAAATGGAGATTCATGTTGGATTTAAATTTGTGTTGCATTTGTAAAAGTATCGCATTCATATTGAAACGAATAATAGTACAAGTAATAACTCCTAAACATGTTTTTCCAACACTTAACAAACATTAGAGATGATTTTAACCTAAGAATTCAGACTAGTGTCTCAAAAAGTTTCTTGTTAGCTGCATACCTCTTAAATACTAGAAATTATCATTTTTGTAAGGAGGTGAAAGGAAAGTCATACTTTCAGTTTTTGAGGTGGTAACATAGAATAAGTTCCATTCCTAATCAATTAAAATTAGGAACTTTTTTTCCTTTTTGTTCACTGGTGTGTGTGCGTGCGCGTGCTAGTACTGAGGCTGGAATTCAAAGCCTTGTATTCTCACTTGGCATTTTGCTCAAGGCTGGTATGCTATCACTTGAGCCAAAGCTCTACCTCTGGCTTTTTGCTGGTTATTGGAGATAGAAGTTTCATGGACTTTAATACCCAGGTTGCCTTCAAACTTTGGTCCTCAAATCTCAGCCTCCTGAGTAGCTAAGATTACACTCTAGTGAAAGGGGAACTAAATATTAGTTTAGGAAAATCCCTCAGAAATCTGATGTGTGCAGAAAGGGATTAAAAAATGAGAAGCAAAACCTAACTGAGACTATAAAACAGCCACAGGGAAGTCACATAGTTAGACAATTAAAAGTATTCAAGTATTTTTCTTGTAAATAACATTACTTTGGGGGTAAGGGGAAAATGTAGATGTTTTAATTTGGAGTTTTGTTAAAGTTCTCAGGAATCTAGGAAAGTACATTTCATTTTACGTAGATTTGAATCCAAAAGATTTAAACTAAGGGTATAGAGAGCAATGCTTTGTAGGAACTTTGAGGATTTTTTTCCCCCGTAATTTAAGTACTTTTAATTGTCACATAGCTGATCTTAACTCATTTGGGGGTAAACTTATTCTAAACATTTCGTTTAAAATAAATATCATTGTTTTGGTGACATTGCCTCATCTTTCCAAGCAGAATAGGTATTCCATTTTCTTTATTCACAGAAAGCCAAATTGGTTCTTGTCATACTAGATTGTGAAAATCCTGGAACTTGGACTGTAGACGTATACATTCCTTAAAATTATACAAACTGGTTAAGAATCCCCAATCTGAACGTCCAAAAAAAAAAAAAGAAAAAGTCCAAATCTGAAGTCTTTTGAGTACTTTCAATTCCATATATCCAATTCAAATTTTGCACAAAATAGACACTTATTTGGTAATGAATGAATGACCCTTCACAGTGAATGCAGGGACATACAAAGCTTTATTTTACACAGCAAATATTGTTCTGAACACTTAAATAAATAATGACAAATTTGAAAAAAGCTTTCAGGCATCCACCATGGGGAGGGGTTTACCTGTAATATTTCACTATAAAAGATACATTTCTTTTAGACCCTATTTAGAAACAAGATACACTTTGAATTTTAAATGCAAAGAAAAAGAGGGGGATTGTCTGGGGCATAGCTCCTATGACTGTCTGTAGACTTTATTTCTTAGGAAAACTTCAGAACCCTTTGTTCTACAACTGAAAGTATGCATTATATTCACAAAACAGGAAAAGTTTAGAACATTATACAGTATTTCTATGCACATTATTCATACATTCCTTCATTTCATCAAAAAAGGGCTTTGGGAGCATTATGAATAAGATTTAACAACAAAAGTCCTTTAGAAGGATATCTTCTAAAGAAAGAAAACTGTCTCACAGAATTTTGAATATTTCTACTCCAGTCATTTCTTTTATTATTCAATATATGAATAAGACTCTAATTTTCTTCTTATTTTTTTTTTAATCAATGTTGCTGGGTGCCAGTGATTCACGCCTGTAATCCTAGCTACTCAGGAGGCTGAGTTCTGAGGATCACAGTTGAGGCCCTCTTGGCAAAAATGTGTGTGAGACCCTTATTTTCTAATAACTAGCTAAAATCTGGAGGAAAATAGATGAGCGGCTCAAGTGGTAGAGACTTAGCCTTGCATGCCAAAGCCAAACAAGAACATGAGACCCTAAATCGAAGCTCTAGCATTAGTATGCATACGCACACACTTCAGTCTTGTCCTTTTTGTGCTTAGAAGGAAATCAATGGCTGGAACTTAGTGCAGATTTTTGATGCACTTTGGCTATGAAACCAGGAAATGAATCACAAGCACATATAGAGTGTATGTGGAATGCCCCTGGGTGCTGATGTGCTTACTCTTGCTTTCCTGTGTTTACCCCTGTGCAGAAGCAGTGTCGGCGTCTGTGGTGCACAAGTACAGAGGACGTTCACAAGGGCTGCCGCACACATCACATGCCACTGGCCGATGGGACCGACTGTGGGCCTGGGATGGTAGGTTTTCTCGAAGGGTGAGTCTCACATCAAGAGCTTATCCAAGGTTCTGATTACTCTGCATTTCTGCATTCGTTTATTGCTTGCTGTCAACTTTGGTGCAACTAGTTGAAGTAATGCTATTGCCAAGTTTGATGCAGCACATTGTCGACCGAATTAATATTTCATTTCATGTGTGTGTGTGTGTGTGTGTGTGTGTGTGTGTGTGTGCGCACGCGTGCGTGTGTGTGCTGGCAATGGGACCTGAGCACTCTCATTTAGCTTTTTGCTCAAGGCTGGTGTTTTACCATTTAAACCACAGCTTCACTTCTAGTTGTTTTTTTTTTTTTCTTTCCCCTGGTGAATTGGAGATGAGAATTTCACAGACTTTTTTTTACCAAGGTTGGCTTTCAATTGGGGTTCTCGTATCTCAACCTCCTGAGTAGCTAGAATTACAATAGTAAGCCACCAGTGTCCAGCTAAATTCTTTTTTTTTTTTTGAGAAAGAGTCTCACTATGTAGATACATTTGTAATCATATTACAGGTGAGTATGAAATTTATTGTCATCATATATATATATGGATGTGTATGACTCTATTATAATTTTATTAAAATTATCATGGACATCAAGATCCTGATAGTTCAACAAATCCCCCCAAATTCAGAGATATATTTGTTACATATGCTTTCACCGACAAAATTACATTATCATTTAATGTTTTAAATAGCGTCTCCAAATCTTTTCTTTCAAATGGATTAAAATACATTTTATTCCTAGAATAATTGCCTCCCATGTTATTATTATTATTGTCATTATTATTTATTCTTCTAATGATCACTTACAATGATGATATACAGAGGGGTTACTGTTACGTAAGTCGGGTAAAAAGTATTTATTTTTGGACAATGTTACCTCTTTACTGTTGTTATTATTATTTTTATTTTTATGCTGGTCCTGGGGTTTGAACTCAGGGCCTGGGTACTGTCCCTGAGCTTTTTCTTTTGTTTTGCTCAAGGCTAGCATCCTACTACTTGAGCCACAACTCCACTTCTGGCTTTTTGGTAGCTGATTGAAGATAAGGGTCTCATGAACTTTCTTGCCTGGCTTCAAAATGTGATCCTCAGATCTCAGCTTCCAGAATAGAGAGGATTACAGGCATGGGCCAGTAGTGCCTGGCCTGCCTTCTCTAGTATATATTTCCCATGCTAATACTCATCATGAACTTAGCTAAATTTTCACCAGTGTAAGAAATTTTCACCAGTGTAAGAAACTGTTGTATGAAGTCAGATTGTGCATAGATAAGATGATATTCTGAAGCCTGCAGCAGGCAAAAAGTGAGGCCCTAATTGAAAATAACATAAAGCAAAAAGAGATGGTGCATGGCTCAAATGGTAGAGCACTCCAAGGTCTAAGAGTACAACACACAGAATTTGAATGTATGGTTTGACAGGCTTCTAAGAAATAGAGATACCCATAATCCAATCAAAATTATGACATTTATATCATTCTCCAAAGTTCAATCTCACTTATTTTCTAGACAGTCTTACATCTGGAGGAATCTCTTATTCTGTTTCCATAGATTAGTTTGTTTTTGTTCATAATCTTCTTTTTGTGTTTGTGCTGGTTCTGGGTCTTGAACTTAGGGCCTGGGTGCTGTCCCTGAGCTTCTTTGCTCAAGATGAGCACTCTACCACTTGAGCCACAGCTCCACTTCTGCCTTTTTGCTGGTTAATTGAACATGAGAGTTTCATGGGCTTTCCTGCCTTGACTGGCTTCCAACCACAATCCTCAGATTTCTGCCTCCTGAGTAGCTAAAAGTACAGCTTGAGCCACTACTTGCACCTGGCTATTCTTGATCTTAATGTAAGTGGAATTGTACAGTGCACCTTCTTCAGGGTTAGAATAATGGACCAGTCTTCTTTGGCTCAACAGCTTCATCCATATTATTGTATACACCAGCATTGTTCCTTCATTTGGTAGTATAATTCAACTTTAGAAATATACATAATTAAATTATTCTCCTGCTATTTGGAGCATTTCCGAGTTTCAGCAGTAATGAATAAAGCTGCTGTGGACATCCTGTATAAATCTTTTTGCAGACATATGTGTATTTGTCTTGGAGTGGAAGTTGTTGGGAGTATCAGAGAAATGCATGTTTGCACTTGGGGACATTAAGCTAAAATAAATAAATAAACCAACCTCCAAAAGACAAATATAGTACAATTCCAACTACAGAAAGGATCTAAAACAGTTAACTTTGTAGAAGCAGGCAATGGGATGGTGGTCTCCAGGAGGGGGAAATGAGAACGATTGTTTAATGCGTATCAGGTTTACACACTGATGTTCATAATGCTACTCAACTCTGCACATAACATGGTCAAATGATAAATTTTATGCACGCTTTATCACAGTGAAAAATAAAAGCAAACTGATGCTAAGACAAATGTCAAAAAGAGTGAATGCAAGTCATTTTTAAGGTAATGCTTTAATGAGCATAAACTTACTCTCATAGGAATTGATACAATTTTCTACAGGTGCTGTAGAAAGAGCTCAGTAGTAGTAGAATGTTTGCCTAATCTGTTCCAGGCAAAAATAGAAAAGAAAGGAAAAATGAAGAGACAAGGGGAAAGAGAAAGGGCGTACAGGAGGAAGGACAAAAGGATTGGAAGGAAAGAAGGGAGGGAAGAAAGGAAGAGAAAGAAGAAATATAACTAAAACACTAAAACAGTGGTGTCATAGGACGTGTGGGAGGGAGACTCACTGCAGTGAGGTTTTGAATAGTGGGAAAGGATGGAATTAAGGACAAAGTGTAGAGGGACTGACTGACTTTGTCTAGTCTTCCGGTGTTTTCATGGGTATTCATAGGCAAAACACTGAATATTTGTGTGCGAGTGCTGTGGGGTGGGAAGAAGGATTGGTAGGACACTGAGAGCAGATTCTTTGATAAGTTTCCATTTCTTAATGAAAAGAAAAGAAAAAGTCAGTCAAGCCAGATATTAGTGGTTTAGGCCTGTAATCGTAAGCTACTCAAGAGGCTGAGATCTGAGGATCGTAGTTCAATGCCAGCTTGGAGAACAAATCTGATTTGCAAAAATAATCAGCTAAGCAAGAATGATGGGCTGGCTCTGATTTCAAGCCTCAGTACCAGCAGAAAGAAAGAAAGAAAAAGAAATTAAAGGAAAGAAGGAAGAAAGGAAGGGAGGGAGCAAGGAAGGAAGGAAGGAAGGAGAGAGAGAAAGAAAGAAAAAAAGAAAGAAAGAAAGAAAGAGAGAGAGAGAGACTAGGGGAAAGAGAAATGGAGGGAGGTAAGGAAGAATGAATGAAGAAGGAAGGAAGGAAGCAAGGAAGAAAGGAAGGAAGGGAGGGAGGGAGGACAGAAGAGAGGTCAACATCTGAGAACGTTGGGTGGAATATTTGGTTGGGATAAAGTAGAAAATTAAGTATGCTAATAAAACTAAAGAATGATAAGCTAGTACCATTTCCAACCCCAAGGAAATGATAAATCCAGTAGCTGATACCAGTGGCTACTAACCCCCCAGTAGGGGACAAGCTGTTAAGGAGTTGACTGATAATCCTTAATGTTTTCCAAAGAGAAATGGATGCTAGGTACCTTCTTTTTGCCACAGAACGTATCACCATGTATGAAATAATCTTGAGAAAAGATGGAAGGTAAATTTCAAGCCTCCTCTGCCTTGGTTACCACATTTCAGGTAACAGGAGGGCAAACAAATCAAACTTCATCATCGAGGAAAACAGAAAAAAAAAGTTGAAAATTAAATAGATGAAAAGATGAATCCATAACAATGGAGTTTAAAACATGGAAAGCACAGACGCAGGCAGTATTAAAATAGTTTATTTACCTCTTTTAAAAATGTCATTTACTTGCGCCAGGCACCAGTGGCTCATGCCGGTAATCCTAGCTACTTAGGAGGCTGAGATCTGAGGATTGTGATTCGAAGTTAGCCTGGCAGAAAAGTCCCTGGGAAACTTTTTTATATGAAATTTTAAAATGACAAAAAAAAAAGAAAAGTCCCTGGGAGACTCTCATCACCAATTAATTACTCAAATGCCACAAGTGAAGCTGTGGTTTGAAGTGGTAGAATGCTAGCTGTGAGCAAAATATTGCCAGGGACAGTGCACAGACCCTGAGTTCAAGCCCCTTGACTGACAAAAATAAAATAAAATGAAATAAAATCATTTTCCATTGTAGTCTTTAATCCTCTTTTCCTCCCCCAATGAGATTTCAAACCTCAAACATATTATTTTCACATCCCCTGTTGTCAATTGGAAGTATCCATGTTTCTACCCAATGGGTAGAATTAATCCCTTTGCTTTAAATTATGTACAGATTGCTGTTTGTACTAATCAGGCTGGCACACTGCCACCCGAGCCGCAGCTCCACTTCCAACATTTTGCTGGTTTCATTTGAGAGAAGAGTTTCACAGTCTTTCTTGCGTGGCTTGGTTTTGAGCCTCCATCCTCAGATCTCAGCCTCTGAAAAGCTAGGATTACAGGCAGGAGCCACCACAGCCCTTGGCTTCTTTGTTTTGACGAATACTTATATTGTTATGGTGATCATTATGGTGTTCTGGCGAGATGTGCATAAATCACTTCTGTTTCTATGTTTATTACTTTGTTATAGCATTGCTTCCATGGGCGGTGTGTAAACAGAGATATGGAGTTGCGTCCCGTGGATGGAGACTGGGGTCCATGGGGGCCTTACACTTCTTGCTCGAGAACGTGTGGAGGTGGAATCAAAAGCTCCACCAGGCTCTGTGACCGGCCCGAGTATGTCTTTTTTATGTCCCTGTAAATTAAGGTTATTTCAAGGCATCAGAAAAGTAACCATTACTTTCATTCACTTCCAAAACTCGAGGTCAGTTCCACAAACTTCTGAGATTCAGGAAAAACTTCTGGAAGATTTTAAGCCCTCTCCTTGCTTTGGTAGCTTTGTCGCTTTAGAGAAACAAAAACCACATGAAACAGATGAAATTTTACACCCTGAATAGAGACCAAACTATTTTCTTCATTACTTTTTTTCTCATCGAGTATAAATTTTAAGCAATACTTACATACAAGGGAATGATGGGAATATCATGGTAATTTTCACATCTAACTGTGCTCCTAATGAAAGGTTCTAGAACCTTCCATGGAGGTAGTATTGGTTATCTTGGACAAACTATGATGCAGTGTGGTTACTGGTTTTTATATTGTTCTATCTAGTTCAACATGTCACATTTTCTTTCGTGTTACAGATGTCTTACTATCTTTGAAGTATATCTTCCCCTCTGAAAAATTTAAAAGATCTTAGATTCCACAAAGTTTTATTTTTTTAAAATTTTGTGCCAGTACTGGGGCTTGAACTCAGGACCTGGGCAGTGTGAGGGTATCTTTGAGCTTCTTTGCTCAAGGCTAGCACTCTACCACTTGAGTCCCAGTTCTATTACTGACTTTTTTTTATTGGAGATAGGAATCTCACAGACTTTTCTGCCCAGGTTGGCTTCGAACTGCAATCCTCAGATCTCAGCCTCCTGAGTAACTAGGATTACTGGCGTGAACCACCAGCTTTTGGCTCCATATAGATTTTTATATACATGTTTCTGTTGTATATAGGATTTATAATCTGACAAGCAATGTGACATTCTTTCCTGTATGCCTTATTAACAAGCCTTTAGGTCACATACTGCAAATTAAAACCTAATAGCACATTTGGATTTTGGAACTACTAAATTATATTGGAAGTCTTTGTACTCTAGAGATTCTACTGATTTTTCCACCTTTTCCAGTATACATTGAAAGAGAGATGGATATAGATTGATACTTAGCAACTCCTTGAATTGATTGACAAGTAAGATGCAGTTCACAAACATAAATCTTCATATAAATGCATATAAATGTCCTTTTTAGCCTGGTGTCTGTCTCTGTTGCTGTTTTGGTCGCACTACATGTTTTTCCTTCTTTTTCTAGAAAATGAGCAAACCCCCTGAAAAACTTTTGAAACAAATCCTATCATTTCTGGTTAATTACTATTACCAGGAGTAAGATTCATTTCTGCCATCCAGGCTCAGTGTCTATCTTAAGATGGAGATTTTTATAGTTTATTAATCAGAATTAATAAAAATTCCCTTTTTCATATTCCACTAAAAAAAAAAAACAAGAACAGCAACAACCCAGTGTTACCAAGTAGTTACCAGTGACTCATACCTATAATCCTAGCTTTTCAGGAGGCTGAGATCTATAGGATTGAGGTTCAAAGCCAGTCCAGGTTTTTAAAAAAGTCCTTGAGACTCTATCTCCAAACTAACCAGCAAAAAACGAGGCTAGAGGCCTGGCTCAAGCGGTAGAGTACCATCTAAGCAAGTGGTGAGGTCCTGAGTTCAAACATCAGTATTTGTCCCAAACCCACACACGCAAAACAAAACAAAATAACCACACACAACGAAAGTATTCGTGGAATGATCAGTAGTTTTCTTGGTCCTGGCAAAGAATGGAAGTTAAGGTTAAGGGGCATCAATGGCAGAAAGTAATCTTTGTACTGATGTGGCTTTATGATGTAATGAATTTGACCAGGCCAAGAAACGGAGGCAAGTACTGTGTGGGCCGCAGGATGAAATTTCGGTCATGTAATACTGATTCCTGTCCACAAGGCAAGGAAGACTTCCGAGAGAAACAGTGCTCTGATTTTAATGGTATAAATTTTAACATCAATGGGCTCTCCCCAGATGTGCGATGGCTCCCCAAGCTCAGTGGCAGTAAGTATTGACAATGATGCTTCTCTCGCCTCAATGTGTTTTGAGCTGGAGCAGAGATGTGGCTATAACCTCTCGAACATACCTTTGTTTTCTGTAGTTCCCATGAAAGATCGCTGCAAACTCTATTGTCGGGTAGCTGGGACCAGTAGCTTCTACCAACTCAAGGACAAGGTCGTGGATGGGACTCCTTGTGGGACAGAAACGAGTGACATCTGTGTTCAGGGTGTATGTCGAGTAAGTCTGATGAAGTGGTCTTTTGTACTCAAAGTGACTTTGCTGTTCTCCCACCCAACATGACTCCTGTTCCTTCAGACTTTCTCATTTTGGGAGTGTTGGCCGTTGTGTTTCCCATGCACATGCTCTATTACTGGAGCCACAAGCCTAGCCTTTTTTTACTTTTTAGTATTTTGGATCCGGTCGTGGGGCCTGAACTCTGGGCCTGGGCATTGTCCCTCAGCTCTTCAGCTCAAGGCTAGCACTCTACCACTTGAGCCACAGTGCCACTTCTGGCTTTTTTGTTAATTTTTTCTGCTTATGTGGTGCTGAGGAATTGAACCCAGGGCCTCATGCATGCAAGGCAAGTGCTCTACCACTGAGCTACCTTCCCAGCCCCACTTTTTAGTATTTTTAAAATAGAGTTTACATGTCTGGCCAACTGACTTGGACTGCAATCCTCCTCTTTATACTTACTGGGTAGAGTTGGGATAACAAGCATGCAGCCAGCCTCTTCAGCTTTTATTGGTTGAAAATGGGGTATTGTAAACATTTTGTTTGGGCTGATCTTGAATCACAATGCTGCCTCTAATATTTGGCCTTCCAAGTAAGCTAGGATTATAGGCATAAGCAACTACAATCAGATGAAAATTGATTGCATGAGTTCCAACAAATCATTGGTTCTGTATGAGTAAGGTTAGATTTGGTTTTTGGTCAATTCTTGGCTCTCGCTGGGCTTTTTAACTCAAGGCTAGTGCTTTACCACTTAAGCCATAGTTTCGCTTCTGGCTTTTATCTCATTGGAGATAAGAGTCTCATGGGCTGTCTCTGAGCTGTGATCATCAGACCTCAGTCTTCTGAGTAGCTAGGATTCTAGGAGCATCCTATTTTATTGGGGATATGGATAAAGGCTTCAGAAAGGTGTTAATGCAAGGATGGTGTGATCTCTTTTGCTAAATAACAAAACTAAGAAAATGAAGTGGGTACTACCCATGGAATTAAGGACAAGCAGAGGGTTATTTCCTGCACTCATTATTCAATCACCTTGGGGATTTATGTAAGAATTTGGGGGAACCAGGCACTGCTGGTTCACACCTGTAATCCTAGCAAGTCAGGAGGCTGAGATCTGAGGATCACAGTTCAGAGTCAGCCTGGGCTAAAAGGTCTGTGACACTCTAATCTCTAATGAACCAGCAAAACACTGGAAGTGGAGCTGTGGTTGAATGCTAGCTTTATATAAAAATGCTAAGGGACAGTGTCTGGGCTCTGAGTTCCAGCCCCAGGAGGAGCATGAAACAAAACAAAACACACGAATTTGGGAAGAGAGATGTGATTTGCTTTGCACCTGAGAATCTTCAGAAAGCACTGGGTTAGGCGAAGGTTGGAAGTTGATGGATCCGTTAGTGGAATTCTCACTGAGCAAATGAGACCTGCACAGAAGCATAAACACTGGAGACAGTGATCTCAACAACAGATGTTGAATGTATAGTGAATGTTGTCTGAAGAATATAAAAGTAATGTCATTGTTTTGGTGAAGGAACTTAATGGACCAGCTTCCTCTCCCTAAATACATGCTCTACTACCTGTTACCTAGTGAGAAAGGCCTTGGACCCAAAGGTTTAATAAGATGTCCCAAGATCCTTAACTTATACACTGGAAATAAGTATTAGGAGAAGGCGCTTCAAAAACTCAGGTGTTAGAAAAACAACAATTTATACAACTAACCAAAGAACTGAAAGGACCACATCATTGCTTATGGAGGATAATGCTTTTGTAAAGAGGAAGTGAACGATTCTTTGAAATTCTAATCCATCTATCCATCTATTCAGCCAGTCCCCCTCTCTCTTTCCATCTAACCATCTTTCTGTCAATGCTATATATCCACCTGTGCATCATCCATCCACTCTGTCTATCTATACTATCTGTCTATCTACCTACCTCCTACCTACCTACCTACCTACCTACCTACCTACTTATGATATGTCTTTTCTTAGACACTGTTTATTGTGGTGGATGTTAGTTTTGAAGAAATCAGTCCTCCCTCCCTCCCTCCTTCCTTCCTCCCTCCCTTCCTTCCTTCCTTCCCTCTTTCCTTCCTTCCCTCTTTCCTTCCTTCCTTCCTTCCTTCCTTCCTTCCTTCCTTCCTTCCTTCCTTCCTTTCTTTCTTCCTTCCTTCCTTCCTTTCCTCTCTCCCTCCTTTCCTCCCTCTCATTCTCTTTCTCTTTTTCTCTTTCCCTCCCTCCCTCCCTCCTTCCCTCCCTCCCTTCCTTCTTTCCTTCCTTCCTTCATTCCTTCCTTCCCTCCCTCCCTCCCTCCCTCCCTCCCTCCCTCCTTCCCTCCCTCCTTCCTTCCTTCCTTCCTTCCTTCCTTCCTTCCTTCCTTCCTTCCTTCCTTCCTTCCTTCCTTCCTTCTCTTCCTCTCTCCCTCCTTTCCTCCCTCTCATTCTCTTTCTCTTTTTCTCTTTCCCTCCCTCCCTCCCTCCCTCCCTCCCTCCCTTCCTCCCTTCCTTTCTTCCTTCTTTCTTTCCTTCCTTCCTTCCTTTCCCCCCTCTCTCTCATTCTTTCTTTCTTTTTCTTTCTGTATGCTGATCCTGGGGCCTGAACTCAGGGCCTGGACTCTGTCCCTGAGATTCTTTTGCTCAAGGTGAGTGTTCTACCAATTGAGCCACAGTGCCACTTCCAGATTTTTCTGAGCGGTTTATTGGTGATAAGAGTCTTATAGGCTCTCCTGCCTGGGCTGGCTTAGAACTGTGATCCTCAGATTTCAGTCTCCTGAATAGCCTGGATTACATTCATGAACCACCAGTGCCAGGCCAATTCTTTCTTCTAAATGGTCATTTGAAACTGGGTTTACTCCTAGAGCTCTAAGATGATGATTTAGAAAAGTTAAATCATGAAGGACATCTTTATGATACATTCATAGTTTTACTCATTTACATTTCTTTAAAAAATTGTTTTCAAATGATCACAGGTGTAGGAATCAAACTCCGTGAGGCCATGTGGGTCTCTGGACTTTCTCTCTGGAAAATATCAATCTAGAAAATCTAGAAATCTGTCTTTGTAAGTGCTGCTTCAGGTGGAGTGATACAAGAGTGTGGAACTGATGTTTTGAGAAAAACTGATTTTAGACTGTGTGAACATATGTGTCCAAATAAAGATATTCCGCGAGATCAGCAGATTCTTTGAAAAGTCATGTTGAACAGAATCTGTTCATGCCAAGAACATTTTGTGAAGAGTAGACTTTGGACACTTCAAGCACAATGTTTGTAATTAGTCATTTTTATGATCTGGGTTATAATCATTGTGTTTTTAAAGCCTGCTGGCTGTGACCATGTGTTAAACTCCAAGGCCAAGAGAGATAAGTGTGGTGTGTGTGGTGGAGATGACTCTTCGTGCAAGACAGTGACCGGAGTCTTCAACAGCAGTGCTCGATATGGTAAGCTGTGTGCTTAGTTCTATTTTCCTCCGTGTGTGTGTGTGTGTGTGTGTGTGTGTGTGAGTCTGTGTCTGTGTCTGTGTGTCTGTGTGTGTGTGCACGCGCATGCACGCAGGTGTATGCTGGTACAATATTGGAGCTTGAACTCAGGGCTGGTCTCTTACTCTCACTTAGCTTTTTTCACTTTAGGAAAGCATACTACCAAATGAGCATACCTTTCCTTCTGGCTTTTGGTGGTTATTTGGAGATCAGAGTCTCATGGACTTTCCTGCCTGGGTTAGCATGAAACTGTGATCTGCACATCTCAGCCTCCTGAGTAGCTAGGATTACAGCACAAGTCACTAGCATCTGATCTGGCTGTATTTTTATTGTTATTCAATATTGTTAGGAGAGCATCTAAGGTATTTTTTATTCAAAGATTTCCTGGGAAAACTTTCTTCTTTTTATAATAATAAGTGGAAGGTCTTTAAAACTTCTCTTTAAAAAAAAAAAGGGTTTTCCAGGTTTTCTACATTAAATTATGTTCACGTATATTCAGACATGTTGAGTTATTGTTAGTTAGCTAACGAGGTATAAAATAAGCTACAATAAATTTATTTATTTATTCGTTTATTTATTGCTGGTCCTGTGGCTTGAACTCATGGTCTGGGCACTATCCCTGAGCTTTTCACTCAAGGCTAGCTCTCTACCATTTGAGCCACCACAGTTCTACTTTCAGCTTTCTTTCCCTTTTTTGTAATTTATTGAGATAAGATCTCATGGACTTCCTTACCCAAGCTAGCTTTGAACCATGATCCTCTGATCTCAACCTCCTGAACAGCTAGAATTACAGGTGTGAGCCACTGGTGCCCAGCCCACAAATGCATATTTTTATGTATTTTATATTTGTATATATTTGCTGTGCTTGCTGTCCTTACGGATTGTACTTCTAGATGATTAAACTATACTTTTTTGTAATTACTGCTACACATTATTTTGTGAATACTTTATACATCTGATATCTTATATCCTATAACCACTGGTTATAGGATGTGGTCTATATTTATTGGAAAGTATTCTTTTCTGGGACAAGGTTAATGTGATTAACCTTGAAAAATCTGCACTGTGAATTGATAAATCTGTAAGTGAAAAGGAAGGAAGAAAGGAGGGAAGGAAGGAAAAGATGAGAACATTTGTTTCATTTCTGCCCCCTGGTGGTCACCTTTATTAATCACTTTGTGCAATGTTAGGCTTGCATTTTTTGCAGAAGTGTGACAGCAAAGGCCATATAGTAAATGGGAATATTTCATCTTGGAGAATTAAAACTAGTCTTGGAGACTGGTAACTTAAGCAAAATGATCAAACTCATTGCCTGACAGCTATATGCATTACCTTGAAAGACATGGAAGGCTGCTCCAAAACCATTCAAGGTCACCTGACATCATGATCATAATCTAGGCTTCCTTGCAAAGAGATTGAGATGTTTCCATCTGCCTGGATTTTTATGGGAATATTGATACTGGCCCTTGTTCAAAGCTGAGTGAAGCAGTCTCAGGAATGGACGGTTTGTCCAGGGAAGGTGATGAATGGGCCGGGGCAGAGTCTGATACATGAATGAACGCTTTGCTCCCAGCAAGGCCTGCACCTTGCTGAGCCTCACTCATGAATCACACCCATTTTGTGCCTTCTTTATTTTGCTGGTTATTCATACTTTACTTCCTGTCTTGAGAGAGATTTGAATGTACCCACTGTCACAATACCATCAAGAAATGTCTATGGCTGGGGACCAGTAGCTCATGCCTGGCATCCTAGCTACTCAGGAAGTTGCGATCTGAGGATTGTGGTTCAAAACCAGCTTTGTCAGGAAGAGTCTATAACACTTGTATCTCCAGTTAACCAGACAAAAGTCAAAGTGGAGATGTGGGCTCAGGTAGCATGGCTGTAGCCTTGAGCATAAAAACTAAGGAACAGTATTCAAGCCCTGAGTACCAAAAAAAAAAAAAAAAAAGAATTACAATCTTTATTTGTAGACTAGTGGCTAGTTTTTCTTAGTCTGCTGTCATTTGTTGAGGGATTAATTAGAAAGGAAACCACCATTCCGCCATGGTTTCCTTTAGAAAGGTAAAATGGAATTAAGTCTGATGGTGCCATTCATATTTTGCAATGATTCAGCAGTGATCAGCCCTTTGACATGTGCATTCTGTGAAATCTAACACATCTCTAATTCTATTGCAGGTTATAATGTTGTTGTCAAGATTCCCACAGGAGCAACAAACATTAAAATTCTCCAGTACAGCTATTCTGGAAGACCAGAAGATGACAACTACCTTGGTAAACATTTTTAGTAAGAAGCCACCAATGTATGAAGTGTGTGCAAGTTCATAGAGGTCTGTGGTAGATGGACATTCTTGAAAGCTTCCAGAGTCCTTGGAACAAGCATGCTAGCTAAGGTCACCTGACTGTTATGCAAAACACATCAATAGCAGACCACTTGTGGGGTTCACAACTGTCATTCTAGCTACTTAGGAGACTGAGATCTGAGGATTGAGTTGGAAGCCAGCCCGAGCAGGAAAGTTAATGGGACTCTTCAAAAATGGGACCCACAAAAAAGCTGGAAGTGGAGCTGTGGTTCAATGGTAGAATGCTAGGATTGAGTAAAAGAACTAAAAGACAGGCCCTAAGTTCAAGCCCCAGGACACACACTAGCTTTTGCTCTCTTTGTCTCTCTCTCTCTCTCTCTCTCTCTCATACACACACACACACACACACACACACACACACACACACACACACACGTCTGACCATTTATATAGAGTGGTATAATCATTTCATAGTCTTTTCGAATACTGACCCTGACATTGATGTGTATTATCTCTCTGCTGGGACTGTGAGTCCTCTCTGAATTGCTACTTACTGTCAGCCTCTTATGAAGCACCTGCTTTTTGGGACAGATATGCAGTTTGGATAGGGGAGTATAGGGTGAGATGTTGTCAAGTTTCCCCACTTACAGATTTGATACCACAGGAGAAGTGAAATCAATTCAGCTCCCTGAGTATTAACTCACATTCCTTAATTGTTGAATTTAAAAAGTTAATGTAGTATCGGGTATCCAGGGCCCAGGTTTGTAATCCCAGCTACTTGGGAGGCTTAGATCTGGAGGATGAGGGTTCGAGGCTAACTAGAGGAAGAAAAGATTATGAGACTTCATCTCCAATTCAGCAACAAAAAGCTGAGCTGATTACATGGCTTAAGTAGCAAGTATCAGCTGGGCAAGCCGAGCCAGAGGCAAGGTCCTGAGTTCAAATCCCACTACCACCAGACACCTCACCCCTCAAAAATAAAAAAAGCTAGAAAAGTATTTTTGGTACTGTTGCCTGTTGTCTGGCTTTGAAATTTCATGAACCATATATTCTTCTTTTCTAGCCTTATCTGACTCTCAAGGGAATTTCCTGTTGAATGGAAATTTTGTTGTAAGCATGTCAAAGAAAGAAATCAACATACAAGGGGCTATTTTTGAGTACAGTGGATCAAACCACTCAGTCGAGAGAATTAATAGCACTGACCGACTGGAGGAAGAACTTGTGCTGCAGGTAAAAGGATTTTCAGTACTAATAAGACTTAGCTTTAGTAAGTAGTGATAGGGCTGGAAATGTGGCTTAGTGGTAGAGTGTTTGCCTAGCATGGATGAAGCCCTGGATTTGATTCCTCTGTACCACATACACAGAAAAGGCTGGATGTGGCACTGTGGCTCAAGTGGTAGAGTGCTAGCCTTGAGCAAAAGAACCTCAGGAACAGTGCCCGGGCCCTGAATTCAAGCCTGGGGACTAGCCAAAAAAAAAGGTAGTGATAAAACTTGGACTTAATAAAGCTTAGCTTTAATCTTAATAGAAGAACCAAACTGGTTGCATGGTTAACATTTATCGTTAAATATAAAAATGATACATTAAGGAAATATTTAGCGCTAGAGGCTCATACCTGTAATCCTAATGGAAGATCCTAGTTCAAAAGTCAACCCTGGGCAGAAAAATTCTAAGAGACTCCATCTCTAATTAACTAGCAAAATGCAGGGCTAGAGGTATGGCTCAGATGGTAGAGCACCTGCTGAGAAAAGCAAGGTAAGTGCCAGAAAGAAAGAAATCAAGAAAGAAAGGAAGGAAGGAAGGAAGGAAAGAAGGAAGGAAGAAAGAGTAGTTGAAAATGAATTGTATGTTACTTGTACTCTTTTTTTTTATTGAGGTGTTATGTGTTGGTGATTTATACAACCCGAATATACACTACTCCTTCAACATTCCTGTGGAAGGGAAGAGTGACTTGTTTAAGTGGAACCCACAAGGACCATGGGAAGATTGCAGCAAAATGTGTCAAGGTACCTGGGTAATAAACCTAGTAGCTCCAAGTTGGACAGCTTATGCTAGGATCTTTTGGGTCCCTATGGAATCTCAATCTACCTTTCTTTACCTCATCCCACCTCTTTTCTGACGGTGATAAAATATATTTGTGCCAGCCTAGGTAAGATTTTGTATCAAAGAACAAGCCAAACATGGAGGTACCCACCTGTAATCCCAGCTCCATGGGAGGTGTAGATAGGAGGATGGCAGTCTGAGGCTGACTCCAGGCAAAAATAAGACCGTTGCTGAAAAGTGAACTAAAGCAAAAAAGAGAGGAGGCTGTGGCTCAAGTGGTAGAGCACTAACCTAGTAAGTGCCAGGACCTGAGTTCAAATCCTAGCACCATTGCCCCAAAGAAAGGATATTTGTACAAATGGCATAACTAACTCAAAGGAACAGGGAAGAAAATGGCACCATTGGGAAATTTATGGGACAGACAAAAAAAGAAAAACAGCTGGGCTCTGGTGGCTCATGCCTGTCATTCTAGCTACTCAAGAGGCTGAGATCTGAGGATCGTGGTTTGAAATCAGTCCGGGCAGGAAAGTTCATGAGACTCTAATCTCCACTTAACCATACTTCCAATTTTTTTTGTCTCTTCATTAATTAAACTCTTCAGTCATCCAAGATTCAGCTTCCTTATTATACAAAAATGAATTCTTGAGTTGCATCCCAGCATATCCACGAAGTGGTATTGCCAATTGTCACTTTCCTAGGTGAATCTTGTAGGCAGGTTATGGAAGATTTAAATAACGACGAGACACCCACTGGTGGCAATATTTCTTCCATCTTTGTAACTTTTTGGTTTGACTTTGCCAAGGTCTTCGTAGAAGGAAAGTGGTCTGCATCCGTCAGAGCGATCGCATGGTTGTGCCCGATCAGCGCTGTGACCATTTGCTGCTCCCAGCATTGGTGACTGAAGAATGCAACACAGACTGTGAACTGAGGTAAAGGAGCAATGATGCGTGGTGTGATTGTGTACAGTGCAGCTAAACTAATAAGTGAGATCACATGTCAAATATTGAACACAGTGCCATACTTACTAGCACCCTGCCATGGTAACATTTTACGCTCAATAATTAGTACTGAAGCTTAGGAACTCGTGTGTGTGTGTGTGTGTGTGTGTGTGAGTCAGTCTTATCTAAGGATCTAGGCACTGTCCCTGAGCTTTTGTGCTGCAGGCTAGCACGCTACCATTTGAGCCACAGAGCCACTTCAGCTTTTTGCTAGTTAATGGAGATAACATTCTCATAGACTTTCCTGCTGGGGGCTGGCTTCAAATCTCGATCCTCCAGTCTCAGCTTCCTGAGTCACGTGAGCCTCTGTGTCTGGCCTCTGACCCATTTGGTCCCTTGGTTGTGTTTGGTTTGGTGACTGGTAATGACCAATGCTGAGGACAACCACCTGTCTTCCAAGGTTTTTGTTTTTTGTGCATTGGGCCTGGTGAACCATGATCCTCGGGTCTCAGCCTCCTGAGTAGTTGGGATTATAAGTGTGAGTCACTGGCACTGGGCCATAACTAAGATTTTATTTTGAAAAATAAAAAGTATCTCTGAAAATCCCTTTCCCCTGGCCACTCTCTCTCTCTCTCTCTCTCTCTCTCTCTCTCTCTCTCTCTCTCTCTCTCTCTCTCTGTCTCTGTCTTTCTCTTTCTCCCTATCCCCTCCCAAAAATACATGTGTCAATCTTTATGGACTTCATTTTTCTCTGCATTTTGTATTATGTTTAATTTTTCAAACTATCTTTAAGTAGTTGTAGAAAGGGCCATCAGTTCCACACGTCAGTTCATGAGCACAGCGCATCTTGGTCCATATCACCCCTCCCATCCTTCTCCTCCATTGCTCCCATTTTCACATGTGCGCATTGAGTATTCTGACTGCATTTGGCCATCCTTCCTCTCTCCATTTGTATGGACCTTATTTTTATGTGTATACACTTAAAGTTTAAGCGAGAGTACGTCCTAATTCAGGGGCTCATGGAATATGTTCAGGTGGCTCCTGCAGTCATTCTTAGGGCTTGTTGAATTGAATCGCGTGCATGAGTCTCTGAGTCTGCTTTTACGCTGGAGTAGCTCAGCCTAGCCCCTTAGGTATCCTGTCATCTCTCTTCCCAGGTGGCATATTGTGGGCAGAAGCCACTGCTCATCTGCCTGCGGTCCTGGCTCTCGGTCCTTGGACATCCGTTGCATGAAGTACTCCATCCACAAAGGACAGACAGCCCCTGTGGATGACCAGCACTGCAGAGACCAGCTGAAACCTCCTCTCCGTGAGCCGTGTCGGGGCGACTGTGGCGTGATAAGGTGGCATTATTCAGAATGGTCCCAGGTACAGTAATGAATGTGGCTCAAGAGAAATCACCGCAATCTGGTGGCTCATGTCGAGAATCCCAGATACTCAGGAGACTGAGATGTGAGGATCGCAATCGTTCACAGCCAACCTGGGCAGAAAAGTCCATGAGACTCTTATCTCCAACAAACCATCAATAAGCCAGAAGTGGAGCTGTGGCTCAAATGGTAGAGCAAGCCTTGAGATTAAAAGCTTAAGGATAGTGCCCAGGCCCTGAGTTCAAGCCCCAGTACCAGTAACAAGAAAAAAAGGCACCCAGGCCCAGAGTTCAAGCCCCACAACCAAAAGAAGAAAAAAAAAAGAGAGACACACGGACAGAGACAGAGACACAGAGAGACATAGACGCAGAGAGGGAGAGAAGGAAATTGTTCCTTCTTAAATTCTAATGCACTATTGATGGTTCTATTCAACATTTGATTTTTTGTTTCTGTTTCCAAAAGTTCACTGCTTTATTTCTCCTTTGTCTTCAATCAGTGTTCTCGAAGCTGTGGAGGAGGGCAGAGGACCCGAGACTCTTACTGCGTCAATAACTTTGGCCGCCATCTTGCTGAGAAAGAATGTCAGCAGCTTGCCCGGGTGACGGTGGAACGCTGCAATGAGGTTTCCTGCCCCGGATGGGCAACGAGTGAGTGGAGTGAGGTAACAGTACACCAAGGAGCCTGAGAACGGTTATCACGTGGTGTGAAGGAAACTTGGCCGTGTGTGTGTGTGTGTGTGTGTGTGTGTGTGTGTGTGTGTGTGTGTGTGTGTGTGTGTGTGTGTGTGTGTGTGTGTGTATGTGTGTGTGTGTGGTTGCCAGTCCTGGGGCTTGAACTCAGAGCCTCAAGCTCTCACTTGACCTCTGCTCTAGGCTAGCATTCTATTACTTGAGCCACGCCCGGGCTTCTTGCTGGTTCATTGGAGCGAAGAAGCTCTTGGATTTATCTGCCCAGGCTGGCTTTAAACTGTGATCTTCAGATCTCAGCCTCCTGAGTCGCTAGGATGACAGGTGTGAGCCACTGGGGCCTGGCTTTGTGTTGATTTCTGTGTACCTTTATTGCTTAGGACCTTTATTGTGTTTAGAGTGGTGTCCATTGGTTAGAAGTTTTGCCAGCCAGGCTCAGTGCAAGGTGAATGAGGGTCAGGTTGGATCAGGTGCCAAGCTGTCTACCAGTCAGAGCTTGCCCGAGTCTCAGGAAATCTTCTCTCATTTCTTTAATAACTATATACACCTGGTTATTTGTTCTCTTGAAATTTACATGTGTATGTGAGTCAGAGCTAGGGCTTGAACTTATGGCCTGGGTGCTGTCCCTTAGCCTTTTTGCCCAAGGATGGGGCTCTATCACTTGAGCTACAGCTCCACTTTTCCAGTTTGGGGTAGTTAATTGGAGATTAAGAGTCTCATGGACTTTCTTGCCTGGACTGACTTCAAACCCTGATCTTCAGATTTCTGCCTCCTGAATAGCTAGGATTACAGGACAGGAGAGAAGCTCATCTGAAATTTACTTAAAATATTAAATTAGCTATCAAATAGATTTGAACAGTATTTTGTCTCCCTAAGTTGTATTGAGCATGTCTCTACAATATCAAGCCTCTCTTGATATTTATGTGATAACTTAAGAAAATCTATGAACACATTTTTGTTAACTTCCATATGTATATAATACTGATTTAACAACTTTGAATAAATAAGCATATTGATTTAATTTTCTAATTTTAAGTCTTGAATCTTGTACAGAGGGTTCCTACACGCTGGATGTGGTAGCTCACATCTATGTATGGATGAATACTTAGAGGCAAAAATTGAGAGACATAAACTTGGCAAGACCTCTCACCTCAACCAATAGAAAGCTGGCTGGGTGTGGTGGTACATGCATGTCATTTCAGTCACGCAGCAAGCATAAATAGACCCCATTCAAAAGACATCTAAAGCAAAGAGGGCTGGAAATTCGGTTCAGTGGTAGAGTGCCTGCCAAGCAAGCACAAGTCTCCTAAGTTCAAACCTCCATGGTGTCCCCGCCAAACTCAAAAGAGCTAATAAAATGACCCCCTGAAAATATATGATTAGTTCTGCACCCACTAAGAAAATGGGCATTCATTGGCGTTTTGAAACACAATGGTTTGATATCTCCTCATTTTTCCCTTTCAGTGCACAGCCACATGTGGACATGGCTATCAGATTCGGGCTGTTAAATGTGTTGGTGGACCATTCGAGTTGGATGGTAGAGAGTGCCCTGCTGCCAGCCGCCCCACTGACAAGCAGGTAAGGAAACTGTTTTTATTTTTGTCTTTGGTGCCAGTCCTGGAGCTTGAACTCAGGGCCTGGGCACTGTCCCTGAACCTCTTTGGCTCAAGGCTAATGCTCTTCATTTGAGCCACACCTCTACTTGTGGCTTTTGGGGGGTAGTTAATTGGAGATAAGAGTTTCATGGACTTTCCTGCCCGGGTGGGCTTTGAACCATGATCCTCAGATCTCAGCTTCCTGAGTGGCTAGGATTACAGGCATGACCCCATAATCTTGTGCCCAGCAAGAATTCTTTTCTGTAGGTTATAAACAAAGATATTTATGTAACTGGTGAATTATTGATGTGTTCAAGTTCTTTTCTTTTCTTTTCTTTTTTTCTTTTTTTTTTTTTGGTTGTGGTGCTTGAACTCTGCCTGGGCGCTGTCCCTCAGCTCTTCAGCTCAAGGCTAATGCTCTACCACTTGAGTCACAGCATCACTTCCGGTTTTCTGGTGGTTAATTGGAGATAAAAGAGAGAGAGAGAGAGACAGAGACAGAGAAAGAGAGAGAGAAAGAGAGAGAGAGGAGAGAATGAGGTGTGTGTGTGTGTGTGTGTGTGTGTGTGTGTGTGTGTGTGTGTGTTGGAATTTCTTCCTTGGATTTATTGCTCAAGGATGCTGATTACTACTTGAGCCACAGCTTCACTTCTGGCATTTTGCTGGTTCATTGGAGATAAGAGTTTCTTAAATATAACTGCCTGGGTTGGCTTCAAACCTTGATTATGAGATCTCAGCCTCCTGAGATGCTAGGATTATGGGCGTGAGCTACCAGAACCTGGCCAGTTTTATAGCTTTATTCTGAAACCATTATCTCCTATTGGTTACTCATTTAACTTCTTTAGTATCATTCTTTAGACTGTTTGACACTTATGTGTTTGAAATGTGCTGTGCTTTTCCAGGTAGAGTTCTGTATGCCTTTGGGATAGCATCTTTGAAGGATTTTACCTTAATGGTGACAAAGAAAGATCCAAATATTAAGATTGCGAGTCTTACTATACAGGTCTACAATCTGAGAGTACTTTGTGCTTTTATTCTTTTTGGCTGGTACTTGGGCTTGAACTCAGGACCTCACAATTTTATCCAGCTTGCTTGCTGACAGCCAGCACCCTTACCACCTGAGCCATGCCTCTAGACCAGGTTTTTGCTTATTCATTGGCAATAGAGTTTTGTGGACTTTTCTGTCCAAGGGATCTCAGCCTAGTGAGTAGGTAGGATTACAGGGGTGAGCTACCAGTGCCCAGCTTACTTGGTGCATTTGAAAATAAGGACCTTCAAAAATCATCTGGTTATAGTATAGCATGCAGTGGTGTTGGATCAGGTGTGTAAAAAAGGAAAGAAGAATCAGACTCAATCCAAATCAGAGTGAGTCAATGAATGGCCTTTGATCAAGTCTGCTTTTCTTTGTGAACAGGACTGTATGCTTCCATCTTGCCCAGTTCTCCCCAAAGCTGCAGCCACTTCGTTACCAGCTACTCCCCTGGGGAAGGGAGCTCAGTGGCGGCACGGCTCCTGGACAGCAGTGAGTGAATTGATCTACTAGATCGCAGCACACGGGGTTGGTGCAGGTTTGCCGAGTTAGTGTTGGTGTTGTTCATTCCTGGGGATTTTGATGGTAAGGAAGAAGCCCAGGGCTTAGAATCAAGTCACTTAATAGCTACGTCATGGTGCTGGCTTACCATGGCCCATGTCTCGGAGCAGGAAATTTGAAGTCTTCAGGGGCTATTTTTCGAATCTACAAAATGAGGATAATAATTATCCTTATGTCCCTGGCTGTTATGAGAAGCAGATGTGGTCATCAGGCATTTATCAACCTTCGTATAATCTGCAAGCATTTTCGTGTGCCTTTTCTGAACACTTTAATGTATCTGGACTATGTAATTTGCTTTCATCTTGTATTTTAATTATGGGATCCTGTATACTCTTATTACTTATGCCTTTCAAGATTAATTTTTTTGAAAGGGATGGGGTGGTGTCAAGGGGAGGGTGAATGAATGAGAGAGTAGAAGTGAGGAGAATGCAGCCGAGATTTCAAAATTAAGAAGAGGGAGGGAAGGAGGGGGGTTGGGAGGGAGGGGTGACCTTGGTTGAAATGTGCTGTATTCACAACCTGCTTTGTTAAGTGGCAACTCCTTTGTACAACTACCTAAACTCCTTTGTACAACTACTTAAAAAGGTTAAATTTCTGAGAGGATGAGTAAGATTGGGACAAGATGGAGCAGCAACGATGTAAGTGGTGAAGTCAGTCAAGATGCATTATACTTATAAACTATTTAAAGATAATAAAAAATAAACCTTATATTGTTTATATTTTTCATGATATCTTAAGATTCCTTTATGTGGAATCTTTTGGTGTCTTCAATTCTGGCGTATTATTTCAAATCATTATATTCACTTAATGATCATATCTAATTTGTGAAATCTTTTTATTTTTATTTATTTATTTAGTGCCAATACTGCGGTTTGAACTCACAGCCTGGGTGCTGTCCCTGAGCTTTTTTTTTTTTATTACTCAAGGCCAGTGCTCCACCACTGGAGCCACACCTCCACTTCTGGTTTCTTTCTTTGTTTGTTTTGGCTGATTAATTGGAGTTAAGAATCTCATGGACTTCCCTGCCCAGGACAGGCTTCAAACCTCAATTCTCAGATCTCAGCCTCCTGAGGGGCTTGGATGACTGGTGTGAGCCACCGGTGGTGCCTAGCTTGGTGTGTGAAAGCTGTGATTTAAGCTGTGAATTCTGCTGTCCCATCTTAGAGACGATGCCCCATGATACTATTTACAGTTGATGTTTTCTCAGGAAGTGAGATGGTTTGGAGACTGAGCAACAGCTCTCGGTGAGACAGTGGGTTAGAGCCATCATAGCATGCCTTGATACTATTGTCTTCTTCTCTTAGTGTTCTGTGTCTTGTGGAAGAGGGAAGCGGGCCCGCTATGTAAGCTGTCGTGATGCTAAAGATGAGATAGCAGAGGAATCTGACTGTGCCCACCTGCCCCGGCCTGCAGAGATTGAGGTCTGCTTCAGCCCATGTGGAGAATGGCGAGCAGGCATCTGGTCTCCTGTGAGTATTCTGTGGAGGAAATAGGACGGGAGTATCCTCTCAGAGACGATTGCATAGTTGAGATAAAATGTGGGAAGCCTAGAGACCCAGGTTGTAAATGTTGGCTCCATTTCTTACCAGTGTTCAGCTTCCTGCGGCCAAGGAAAAGCAACTCGACAGGTTGTATGTGTCAACTCTCACCAAGCCATTGATGAGAACTACTGTGACCCTGAAACCCGTCCGACCACCCAGCAAGCATGCATCCTGGCTGTCTGTCCACCTGTCCAGAGCCATTTCCAAGGCGGAAATTTCCCATTCGGTCACAAACTGGAAGTGGACAAACATCCTCCTTCATCCATCAGAGGAAACCAGTGGAGAACAGGACCCTGGGGATCTGTAAGCACTCTTTATTATTGTGTTAACTCTGTCAGTGTGTTAGATGCTAGCCCTTTAACTGAGATACATATGTACGTGTGTGTGTGTGTGTATATATATATATATATATATGTATATATATATCTCATGACACCAAATGCTTTTAATGCTAAGCTTATCTGATAATCGATAGTTCACAATCTTGAAAGAATTAAGCATCTTTTTGATGCAGGTTACAAGTCCCCAGAATTCTTATTGAATTATGTAGTGATGTGATGTTATGACTCTAGAGGAATGCGCTCAAAAACAATCTGGTTATAGCTCGTTATCATGAAAGCAAAAGGAAAAAAAAATACTCTAAGGCTGTGACCTCAGATGTTTGCGAACAAAACGAAATTACCATGAGATTAAAAAAAAAATAAGGGGGCTTGGAAGGTGGCTCAGTGGTAGAGCGCTTGCCTTGCATGCATGAGGCCCTGGGTTTGATTCCTCAGCACCACATAAGCAAAAAGAAAAAAGCCATAAATGGTGCTGTGGCTCAAGTGGTAGAGCGCTAGCCTTGAGCTGAAGAGCTGAGAGACAGTGCCCAGGCCCAGAGTTCAGGCCCCACGACCGGACCCCCCCCCCCAAAAAAAAAATAAGAGCTGGTATGGAAAACCATAGTACTATAATCCTATGAATTGTAATTGTAGTTCTTATTTTACCTGACATTACTCATTCAAAGCAAAATATCCAGATAAAAACTTCAATTCCTGTTTATATAACACCTAATGCAAATTCAAAAGATCTAACGTTCTCACCAATAAAGTCTAATGAAGCCCAAAGCCTTAAGATTCTAAAGTGTTTTGCTTTTTGCAAAAAATAGAATTTTATAGTTATTATTAAGGTATTGTGCAGAGGGTTTATTATTTCTTAAGTCAATTAATGAGTACATTTCTCTTTGGACAATGTCACCCCATCCTTTGCTTTTTTTGTTTTTGTTTTTTTTTTTGTCTCTTTTGTGGAGCTTGAACTCAGGTGTAGTTCTTTATCATTTTTACTCAAGGTTGGCACTCTACCACCTGAACCACAGCTCCACTGCTAGCTTTTTGGTGGTTAATTGGAAATAAGAATCTTATGGACTTTACTGCCCTCTGAGATGGTTTTTAACCGTGATCCTCAGATCTCAGCTTCCTGAGGAGTTAGGATTAAAGACATGAGTCACTGCCTCCTGGCCTTCAAAGGACTCTGACAAGCTTTCTTGGTTCACCGTGGGATCCCAAGGAGGGAGGTTTTAATGTTGAGTTTGCTTTCAGTTAAGTCAGAAGCAGATTCCATGTACAGTAAGGTTCTGTGCATCAGTGTCCATGTGTGCTTCTCTGCTTGGTCCTGCCAGTGCTCCAGCAGCTGTGCTGGGGGTATCCAGCAGAGGGCGGTGGTCTGCCAGGATGAAAACGGACAAAGTGCCGGCTACTGTGACCCAGCTTCCAGGCCTCCAGAGTCCCAGCACTGCGAGTCAGGACCCTGTCCACGCTGGAACTATGGAAACTGGGGAGAGGTAAGCTGTGGCATTCACACCCTACAATTGTAGAGGTTATTCTATACCATTAGCTTTGGCATGATCTTACATTACCACGCCTATATTGAAGATTCTATTACTTCATTGATTAAAATTGTTCTGGAGAGGTGGGGACATGTGTGTGTGTGTGTGTGTGTGTGTGTGTGTGTGTGTGCTTGTCCTGGGGCTTGAACTCAAGACCTGGGTGCTGTCCCAGAGTTGTGGTTGGTTGTGGTTGTTTGCTCAAGGAAAATACTCTACCATTTGGGCCACAGCTCCGCTTCTGGCTTTGTACTGGCTCCTTAGAGATAAGACTCTCAGATTTGTCCACTATGGCTGGTTTTGAACCTTGATTCTCAGATCTCAGCCTCCTGAGTTCTAGGATGATAAGCTCGATACCCCAACCCCCAACTCCCACCTCTATTCTAGATGAGAAAGAGTTTGAAATACAGATGCCTATGAGTTTTGCCTGAATAAATTAAATCCATCTAATTTAAGTAGCCAAATGTTTACACTTAATGAGTTTTAACCGATAGTTTTTCTTCATAGAGAATTTAAGAATCTTTTTTTTCTTAAGGTTACACCTGTTTGGCAGATGGTAATAAACATCAAATACAGTTTTTAGAAGTAGATTTTAACAATTTTCCAAAATTAATTTTATTTTTTCTACAATGTTATGTGTATTCATGTTGAAAATTCAAATCATATGAAAAACATAAATATAGCATTTTTGCATGTTGACATATTGCCTGCTAATAGTTTGTTGCATGAGAGTTACAGAAACACACACACAGAATGCAAGACACATATCCACACAGAAATGTGCATACATACACATGGAATGCACGTACACACATGTATTTGCCAGCAGCTATTTCCCTATAATGTATGCTGAACATCTTTCCATGTTTATAAAGTTTGATCTACTTTTATTAGTTTTTATGGTTCCTGAATAGTCCGTGGATTAGATAGTATACATTGTATCTGCTAACATTATCATCAACACCTTCCTCAAATATTGTATCATCCTAATTCCCAACATTGGGTCCAATTTTTTTCATGATTGACTTCCATTTTTAATACAGGAAGAAATATGGGCTATAAAAAGGAAAACTAAGCTTTACGATCCACTGCTCCTAGTTCTGTTTAAACATGGATTTGGATGTTCCTGTTCTTCTTTTCAGTGTTCACAAACTTGTGGGGGTGGGATCAAATCAAGATTCGTCATCTGTCAATTTCCTGATGGCCAAGTGTTACCAGAGCACAACTGTGAACTCCGAAACAAGCCTCCCGGCGTGGCACAGTGTCACACCCATGCCTGCCCAGAGGGGGCCGCATGGAATCGGGGACCATGGGAGATGGTATGAAAGCATTCTTAATCTTTTCTATTTTGCTTTAAAAAAAAAGAAATCATACTCCTTTCATTTTCACTTCTTCTCTTCATAACTCACGAAACCCACACACTCTACATCTCCTCCGATTTAAAAAAAACAAACTAACAGAGCCCTGTGGCCTTATCTAATGTTATTAAATTTTAGTGTGACGAAGAATCTACTCAATCCCAAGTACTGTAATATATATATATGAAGTCTTTTATATGTATTTATTTTTAATTTGTGAACTTCAAACAATAGTGCTGTTTGACTGGACATGTTTTCCTTGTTACATCTTTGGCTTGCCTTCTAATAACCAGACATGTGTTCCTATTGATATAATATTAACATCTCACGTGTAACAGTAGGGCATGAAGTCTGTGTTTTGCTTCTGTCTGTTTTGTAACCGATGCAAAAACCAAATAACCTTGTGCTAAGACTTGCTTTTATTTGGGGGAAACTTACCTTGTGTAGCAATGTGAAAATAGTTATATTGAAGAAATGAGAGAGAGATTTACACACATAAATGTTTACACTTTGTGACATACATCTTGGAGAAGTATGACATATATAATAATTTATATGAATATTCATATTTTTCCACTGTGTGGAGTTCCTGTGACTTAGGGATATTTCAGTTTTCTACTCAGTTAATTTCTTGGAGCCATAAACAAAAGTTATAAGTATTGTTCATGAATGGTTCATTATTTTCTTTGATATACTTCAAATATGCAGGTTTTGAAGAATAATTAATACATAAATATAGGAAATTAGTATTTTGATTACTTTTTTTCCTTTTGATTATTTTTTTATCTTAACAGCATGAGCAACCAAGAATCTCTTGGTGAAAAACTGATTAAACTCTTAAAGTTAAGCCATTTATATTTTGGAAAATTTTCAGTATTTGTGCATGCGAGAGTGTGTGTGTGTGTGTGTGTGTGTGTGTGTGTGTGTGTGTGTGTGTGTGTGCGTGTGTGTATACTGGTTTTAGGACTTGAACTCAGAGCCAGTGAACTTTTTCACTCAAGGCTGGCAATCTACCACTTGAGCCACACCTCCACTTCCAGCTTTTTGCTGGTTAACTGGAGATAAGACACATTAAGTAACCAATAAAGCCTCACAGATTTTCCTGCCTGGGCTTTGAACCGTGATTCTTTAAATGTCAGCCTCCTGAGTGGCTAGGATTACAGATGTGAGCCACCCGCACCTGGCCTTTAGTGTTATATCCAGACCTTGTCTGTACTCATGGTTCCCAAGGCAAACCTCTTCTGTGAACTCCATACTCCTAGTTGAGCCAGGCTTTATTTAGAATAGGAGTGAAGTTCTAATTCAGGCTGGAATAATCTTTATATTCAAAGTGTGCCTGTGGATATGAGACAATAAAACATTTTAATTTTATTAGGGATTGTTTAAAGTAAAATTATTGTTTCAGAGGATCATACTTTTATGGGAACTAATAAAAGCCTAAATTCTGCCCTCGCCTAATTATTTTAAAAACATTTTCTGCCCAGCTATGACATCTTAGGCAGTGTGCTATAGAGCTGAAGAAGTATTTTTTTTTAACCTTTAGGGGATTTATTCCATGTAGATCAAATACACTACAGGAACTTAACATGAAAGGTTACTATTTTCTGTTAGCCATCTTAGATTAGAAATCCCTTGCCAACCTTATCTTGGTGACATATTTTATTTATTTATTTAATTTATTTGCTTTAGTTTGTAAACGTAGCTCTCAAGAAGAGCTTTTTGTTGCCCCTTTCCCCTTCTTCCCAGCAGTGAGAGAAACAGAATCCTAGCCACCAATTCATTGTAGAATAAACTCTACTGGCGTTGGTTTCTGAGCACAAAGGTTATATTTTCTTATATTGTTTTATGACTTGTGACTTCAATTCACAAAGTATTCAACATTTAACTTATGTCTTCTGCTTTGTGGTTGGTATGGGAGTAACTAGAAAGTGTTTTAGGTTTGTATTCTGTGTGTGTGTGTGTGTGTGTGTGTGTGTGTGTGTGTGTGTGCTGGCAGTAAGGCTTGAACTCAGGGCCTGGGCTTTGTCCCTTAGCTTTTTCCTGAAGGCTGGTGCTCTACCACTTGAGCCACATCTCCACTTCCAGTTTCTTGCTGGTTAATTGGAGATAAGAATCTCACAGACTTTTCTGCCTGGGCTAGCTTTGAACTGGGATCCTCATATCTCGGTTTTCTGAGTAGCTAGGATTACAGGCCTGAGCCATTAGCAAACGTTTTTAAGGGAAATTTCTCTCTTTCTGGGGTCAGCTAACTATAACCCTGGATCCAAATCCAGAACACTAAATGCTTAATGCTTCTGTCATTGTGTCTTCTTGGAACACAGCAGCCTTACTTGATCATTTTCTCTGGGTGCTGGTTTTCACTTTGGCAGCAGAGTATGTGACTTATAGGAGAGACCAGAAGACACACAAAGCCTGAAATCATTTACTGCTGGGTATCATCTTACAAATTTTTGTCAGTTCCCTAATCTATGAACAATATAATGCATTTTAATGTACAACATAAAATCTTGCATAAAGATATTGGCAATTTCTACTTATACTTTTGAGTCAGTTTTAGGTCGATGCTTTTGAGCTTTCAATTGATATTTTACATTTTAAGATTTATATCTATTATAGTATCATCTGATGTTTATATATTGGATTAGAATATATCTAATTCTGTATTCCAATATATCTGAATTGTGCTGGAGATTTTTTTTGGGGGGGGAGTGTTGTGTGTGTGTGTGTGTGTGTGTGTGTAAATGGTGGTGTAAGTGAAAAACTTGAATGTTTATTAAAGTGCTGGGCACAGCTAATGTTTTCAACTTCACACACACAAGATCAAGAAAATAACAATAAGTACAGATTACACAAATAGTAAGACAGAAGTATAGAATTCTTCAATGTCTGCTACTTGTCTATTTCCAAAAAGTAGTCCATTGAATAATTCAGACTTTGCACTAGGAAAGAACTGTAATATTTTTCTTTTTCTATTTTGATAAATTGATAATAATGAAGTTGTTCTTTAAATAACAATGTTTATATCAGAATTTTTACCAACTTATTTATTTACATTTTTATACATGTAAAGTACATATATATATATATCTCACGAGAGTGTCTGGATTATTTTAATTATATGAAGAATATTTATTTGTCCAATCATCCTTTTATATTAAAAGGCTTTAAGGGATCTGAAGTTTTGTTATCAAAGCCAGTATCTTGTCTTGTCTCTTTCAGTGTTGCTACATTTTAGTCATATTTCAGAATACTCCTCATCAAATAATTAGATCAATATTCTTTCATGGATGACTTTAATTTCAACTGATCCTGTATATTAAGTTAGAAAGTGAATCGATTTATATCTGAGCATTTTTGAATGAGTGACATGAAATCTCTTTTCCTTTTAAGAGAAACATAAGAAGTTCAAAATCATTTCAAGTACCATTAGAAAAAAAGACATAAATAACACTTTATGAGATGCTTCCCTAAGAGAGGAGTCTCATTCTGTAATAACAAAGAAAGAAATCAACTACTTAAAAATAATAAGAATATTAATTATTTTTTAAAAATGTAATCTATATCTGTTAATTTAATGACTGCTTTGTCTTTCTGTGATTGTTCAATGTGAAATGATTGTATTTTAACTCATGTTTATTAATGATGTGTTCTGGCTATGTGCTTTGCATAATATGTATGAATGTTGTATTTTGTTTCCTTGTATCCATACTTAAAATGTTTTAAATCATCAAACAGATCTTGTATTGTAATGAATGCTTCCTTTCCATGGGTGCTATTTTGCTTAAATAACAAACCATTAACTTCTCTTATTAAACATTTAACTGTTGACTAGTGTGTGTTTTTGTATTTTTACTTCCACTGTGTAGAAGCTGCTACTCTTTTTCAGATAATATAAACACTAACCTTGGCTTGTGAAAGAGTTACTGTTCAGCTGTACATTTTTCTGAAGTGGCAGGAATGTTCATTTTTTAAAATTATAAGCAAAAAACAATTGCACACCTATAATCCTAGATTCTCAGGAAGCTGAGATCTGAGGATCCTGGTTCAAAGCCAGACTGGGGTAGGAAAGTCTGTGAGACTTTTATCTCCAATTAACCAGCAAAAGCCAGAAGTGGAGCTGTGACTCAAGTGGTAGAGCATAAAAACCAACTGAGAGCACAAGGCCCTGAGTTCAAGCCCAGACACTGGCATATGAAAACAAATAATCAAGCCCCAAAAGAAACTGTCTTTTTTTTTTGTTTTGACTTTGCCAAGTGGACTAAAAACATCTACAGGAACAAGTTATCTTCTCAAAATGGGGAAAGACACAGGCAGCATGGTAAATAGGCTGAAAATTAATTTTTAAAATAAAATTTAAAACAAATTTAACATAAATATAAATATTTTAAATACTGCAATAAAATCTTTTCATATATTGTGTTTATTACCATATTTTCTCTTTTTAAAAAGTTGGTTTCTCAGCTGGGCACTGGTGGCTCATGCCTGTAATCCTAGCTATGCAGGAGGTTGCAATCTTGAGAACTATGATTCGAGACCAGCCCAGGCAGAAAAGTCCATGAGACTCTTCAACTAACCAGCAAAAAGCTGAAAGTAGAGGTGTAGCTCACACAGTAGCCCATCAACCTGAAGCCAAGCAATAGATAAAGCCCTGAGTTTAAGATCCAGTACTAGCATAAAATACAACAAAAAAAGAAAAAGCATGAAACAAACAACAAAACATCCTGGCTTCCCATCAGTTTGTGAAAACTTTGATCTTGTATGAAAGTACATTTATTGACTCTCCCCAAAGCCATGGATACATATTACATATTCATATTGTGCAATATGCTAGCTACTAGAAAAAAACCAGACAACAATCTTTGGGGACAATGAGTTCCAATATTAAAGAAAGACGATTGGACCCCAAGGGAGATTTCTATTTCATTTCAGGAACATTCACGTAATTTATAATATTGAAGAGC